GACGGCGGCTGTGTCTTCTCTGAGAACAGCTGCTCCCTGCTGCGGCCCAGAGCCTCGCTATGAGAGTGAACCAGGACAGTATCGCTGTGGTCCGACTCTCAACAACGAGCTAAGACTCACTGTGAAGCTGAAGGAAGCTGCAGGTTCAGATGGCCAGTCACTACCTGAGACAGCTGGATGTTAAACCCTGGTTTCATATTGTTGTTTCACAGATTCATAAAAAAACATAGAGAAGCTTTAAAATAAGGTCACAAAGAGCTGCGAGCGCCTCAGTGCAGACCTCTAATAAGAAATGCAACTTCATGCTGGAGGAAAGTACAGCTCACACCCTGTCTGTGCCTGCGGAGTCCTACAGTAACAGGTCATCAATCAAGAGGAGATGTGGGAGCTCAATTTTAGGTCACCTGTGCACACACCTGAAGCCCCGCCTCCTGTCCTACCTGTGATATCATATTTCAGGCTAGCACTGATATGGATCTTTGGAGGTTAAAACATCCCAGTGACATATGGGCCAGTTTTCTTTACACAAGCCAGGAGATGCAAACCGTTCCTGTTAACAGGTTGGATTGACAAAGGCACCTTGCAGGACGTTTCACCACTGAAGCAGAAACTTGGCTCTGATCACAAGTAAAAACATTTGTTGGGTATTTCTCTGTTTTAGCCTCTTGACATTTATGCCAATATATCTGTAATGAGCTGAGACTGATCAGTATATCGGCCTTGCTGATTTATTGCTTGTGCTCCACTTGACAGTGGTGTTACTTCAGTTTAACTGTTAAACTGAAGTACAGTGGTCAAGCTCCACTTGACAGTGGTGTTACTTCAGTTTAACTCAGTTAAACTGAAGTAAACTTAGGGGAAACACTGAACTCTGATGTACTTTACTTGAGTATTACTGCCGTATAAATCTCCTCCAATACATTTAGGAGGAAACACTGAAAACTGACCTCATATATGTGACCTCTAGCTTTTAATTAACAAAAGACTTCTTCACTTTCCATGCCTGACAGTCATTGCCTTCAGGCTGACTGTGTTTTGACTTTTGTCCATCTAGTGTGATCGAGGAAATTTTTTTTTTTTACTCTGTTCACATTCACACCATTAACCTCAGCTGGTTAAGAGGTTTGCTGAAGGGCTCCACAGTGGTATTACTGAGGGTGGAGGAAGCACCACTTTGTCACCTGTCCCACCCACATTTAACCCTGCTGGTCCAGGGATTGAACCAACGACCAGTCACAAGCTCACTTCTCTAACCTTTAGGCCACCACTGCCCAGATGAACCTGTGCAGAGCCTTCAGGTTTTATTACAAATGTTCTTAAAGCAGTATTACAGTAGTACTGATTCAGTGATCCAAGTGTACTGAAAACAAACTCAGCGGTAATGAGGAACCTTCTGGGAGGAACTGTGTGTTAAACTGTGTTTCAGTTGAACAGAGTAGTTGAAACACCAGCTCAGTCTGAAAGCTGACCTGACAGGAACCAGATCTGTTTCTATGGTAACCTGCTTGACTCTCTGAAGTTATGCTGGTTAATCAGGTGATGTGCTTCATGGGACAGAGCTGGTCTGGAACATGTGGATTTAATGAGACAGGTTCCTCCACAGCTTTGGAAAAACCAGCAGCAGCAGCAGCCAGGCAGTGTTTTCCAACCACTGCAGCCATCATTACCCAGACTGCACTGCTGCTCCACTGTCAGATCTCAGGCCAACACAAACACAGACTCCAGGCAGGACCACCGGATCCACGCCGTTACCAGACTCCCAGGACCACAGCAGTCATGGAAACTGTCTGCAGCCTCAAAGCATGCTGGGAAACCACAACCGACATCTCAGCTTTAGTGAAACTGTTTATAGGACGGACTGAAATGTTGATGTTGAATCTGTTTGTAGAAACCTGTTTTTGCATGGTGGTAGATCACAACCCATGCTCCTGAACAGGATTTAAGGATGGTACTTTGTGTTGTTGCTGATCAATAATAGGTCTGACATGTCCTCCCTCCTGCAGTGGGGCAGACCACAGTTGTGTTGCCACTCTTTCAAAAAGCCAAGTTTAAATGAATTTTCACTGACACATAATTTGTTCAAACTGATTCAGAAATCGTCTGAACAGCAGCACGCACCTTTAAATGTATAGTTTTTCTAACATCTCTGCTTAATTCAGTTATGAACTTAATTGTACAACTACAGCTCATTTCCTGAAAGTTACACCACACATCCTCCTCAGTATATTTATAATCAATTCCATTATTAACAGCAACGACTTGATAATTGATTAGTCATTTACATCCGTACACAAACATATAAATGGGTACAAATGTGCAAAAACACAAAAAAGAGGAGCAAATATGTGTATTTATAGGACAACACAAGGGTCACACATGTGTGCACAGAAACGCCGCCTTAACAAAGACAACACAAAGGTCACACGTGTGCACAGAAACGCCGCCTTAACAAACTGGGTTATGGCCCAACAGTAAACTTGCTCTCTGTGCTACAAATGTCACTGAACATGGGCACAGATGTTGAGCATCTGATCTTTGTAGGAAGTGCATTCGAGTTGTCAGGGGATGGTAAAACCCCATGGCCACAGACTGGATCTAGATGCATCAACAAGTGAATGGTTCAGGCTCACAGAAGGTTCACAGACCTGTGGCGACGGGGAGGGGACTGCCAATCTCCAGTTTCCGCGACCTGTCTGGTACTGGAGCATCGGACTAGGACACGGTGCCAGTCAGTGTTTTTCTCATACACTTTAATCCATATCTGCTTCTCCACTTAAAGAAACAACTCCTGATGATTTCTGATAAACATATTCCAAATATGCACTTTTATAGTTACAGTGCAAAGCTGGAGATGTTTCAAATCATTTCATGTATTATTCTCAAACAAATGCACAACCAGGAAGTCAGCACATCTTCATCCTCCCAAACATGGACACCAGAGCAGACCTGGAGAGGGGCCTGGCTGCAGTCAAGACGACTGACTCTCAACCTCAGCCCTGATTGCAGACAATAAAACCAAAAAGGCTTAAGAGTGAACCCCAGCATTGCCCCTGCCCAGGTTAACGGCCTCCGGCTAATAGCCACCACTTCCTGCTGGGGTCGGTGGTCAGTAATCTGCGTATGCAGCCAGGATCTCTTCAGATACAGGCTTCAAATTTAACAAACTACTATTCTCATTGGATTTCAGCATCTACTTCAGTGAAATCTCTTAAAAGTTGCAGAACTTAAATCTGTGATGCATAATTTTATTTTTCCTTTTAAACACTGTTACTTTGTTTAATTTTATTAGATGTTTCTACTTGGGCAGACCATCTCTCCTCTCCCCACACAGTGAAGCCCGTTGACTGTTCTGTTGATGTGACCTGTCAATATTTACAGAAATCACACAGCTTGATCAATACACATGATCAGTGACTGATTTGATTAGTTTACTTCATGATGTGTTTCTTATTCTCTAAATCTGAACCAGACCGAATCATGACCCAAACCACAAATGGGGGTAATACCACAGTGTAAAAATACTCTGTCCAGATGGGGGTAATACCACAGTGTAAAAACACTCGGTTACAAGTCAAAGTCCTGCATTGAACATGTTACTGAAGTAAAGGTACAAAGGTATCATTCAAACATACCTGAAGTACCAACAGTATGAGTACCCGTCCTGCAGATCGGCCCGTGTCACATTAATGTCTCTAACACTACTGGACCATAGTAGTGGACATTACTGTGTTCATCACTTTAATACCGCAGCTGGTAAAGGTGGAGCTGATGTTACTGTGAAGTACTTTACATCCTGCTGGATAGCTGGTGGATTTCCCACCGGGGATTAGTCTGATGATTCTACTGTGTTTGGTTTGATTCATCTGATTCTGAAAAATACAACTTCTGTAAATGTACTTTGTTATTTACAACCACTGCCGCGGGAAGCATTAACGGGAGGGAAACGCTCTGAACCGGGAATAAACGACACCTCCGTCCATTACCGACTACATACTGTCATTCATTGAACTGTTAGCATGCTAACGCTATAAGCAGATATCGTGTCGTTTAACCCATGTCTCTGAATGTGAGCGAGACCGACACACAGACGGTGGACAGGTTCGGGGTCAGTGTGAGCGGAGACTCACCAGAACCACCAGACAGTCAGTGCTAACAGACGGTAGACCCCAGTCTCCTTCCCAGCAAAACAACTCGTCCGGCGCCGCCATCTTTATCCCGAACTGACCTATCACACCGAAACAGGACGTCCCGTCGTTAGCGTGCACTACCAAAATAAAATTCACTTTGACACAACCTGATGGTCAGTGGGGGCAGCAGAAGTAGCCAGATATTTTATTTAAAGTACTAACATTACAATGTTAAAATTCTTCATTACAAGAAAATTCGGCATTCAGAATTCCTGCTACAGAAATATTAAAATATTGTGACGACCGCTGGCTGGGTTGAGGAGAGCTGGCCTGACCCTATCCTAAACTGTGACATCTAACTATCCAGCTGTGTGCTGGCACCTAGGCTGACATTGAGGAGAACACCTTCTCTGTCTTTTCTTGGCTTTATTCAGGCGTACAAAAACACAAAAGAAAAGGGTTGTAAAACGCAGCACTGTGTGCTCACTGGAAAAAGTAACAAAACAGAACATTACAGGTCTCTTCCCGAACTTTACCATCGCCCGCCAACAGAACCTAAAACCACACGCCCAACTGTCATTCCTCTTATACCCTCCCGCACCTGTTCCTCCCCCCATCCCACATTGGCCAGAACAGTGCGGCATTTTGCTAGAAAACAGTGGTAACCAATACATGAACAGCTTTCAACAACAGTGTCAAACCCATTTGCACACAACAGAATACATGAACATCAGCGGCCGGTCAGGGTCGCCACAGTATCATCAGTAAAAGTAGTCATAATGATCAATACTGATACCTGTGCACTTTCACTGCCAAGTTTGTTATGTTAACAGAGAAAGGACACAAATGCAGACTCAGCTTGATCCTCGGGCCAGATTTAATGAGAACATACAGTGAAACCAAAGGACAACAATACATAGAACAACTCAAAAGGTTCAACCTGACTAAAACATACAAGAATACTTCCAGAAATTTTGCTAACTAAAACAGCCCTGTCAGGGACCCATACAAAGAAACAGAAAGCAAACAAAACTGCAGAAGCCAAGACAGTAACAAACCAGATACAGGAGGGATGGAAACCAGAGTCCATAAAATCAATATCCAAAACCCATAAACGAGGCACGCGAGACCAGTGACTGTTGAGGCAAGGCACGAGCAAAACCTAATGAAAACACAGGGGATGAAGGCAACTAGGGAGAGAAAAGCCAGGAGCAAAAATGGGGTGTGTACACAGACGAACAGCAACCAGTGGAGGAAGATATATTCAGATCCTTTACTTAAGTAAAAGTAGTAATACAAGAGTGTAAAAATACTCTTTTACAAATAAAAGTCCTGCATTCAAAATGTTACTTAAGTAAAAGTCCAAAAGTATTAGGATCAAACCATACTAAAGCACTAAAAGTATATGTACTCATTACACAGAATGGCATATTTCACATTCATGTATATCATATTATTGTAATAAAATTACATTATGTACATTACTGTGTACATCACATTTAATGTTGCAGCTGGTTAAAGCAGAGCTAGTTTCAACTGGCTTTTATGCATTTCATTTGAATTTCTGCTGGGTAGCTTGTGAATTTTCCACCATAGATAAATAAAATCTTTCTTGTATTAATCTGGTTATGGAAAGTTTCTAGTAACTAAACTTATAAAATGAAAGTAATGGAGTACAAAGTACAGTACTTGAGTAAACGTACTTAGCTAACTTCCACCACTGCCAAGAACCTGACTGAGGGATGACAGGTGGTTATAAAAGCTCACCAGGCTGGGAAAATGAGCAGTAGGTGAAACTAGCAGGGTACAAGCAGAAGCAGAGTCAAACTAGAGCTGGTGAGGTGATGTGATACAGAAAAGAACTACCAAAATAAAAGCACAACATAGGAAGTTAACCAAAACCATAACCGAGTCTTTAACTGCATGATGCTGATGCTTGTGTACTTTACTGCTACTGATGAGGTACTGGTTTGATATCAAAGGTCTTTAGACTGGGTTAACTGTACTGCCTGGCAAATACATGTACTGCAGTAAAAAAAATACAGTATTTCAGTAGAATGTGGCACAGAATGGAAATACTGAAGTATAAGTAGCTCAGAGTTGTACAATAGGCTACTACATCTAAATGTAGTACATATTTTGCAATAATGACTGTTGCATAAAGAGTAACACAGTGGTGATTCATCCTGGGTCAGTGCAATAATGGCAGCAGCGCAAACTCCTACACACATCAGAGTGTATGTGGGGGCAGATGTCACTCATTTACATCAGCCATTTTGGTCAGCGACACAAACATAAGCAGAGAAAGGTAAAAACATAATAAACACTGGTACAACAATACATAAAAGGAGTAATACTGTCACCTCAGGGAGCTGTGACTGCTCAACCATGCCACTAGACTCTATACAATTTTCTGAGTATTTAACAGTAGTAACACTGAAATCCCTTATTCATCCTGTATAATCAGTCTTTAAACATGTAATAACTGGCTTGTAACTGACAATAATGTGGCTGTAAGCAGATGTAAATATTATTTGATAACTACACTCAGTGGTCAGTTTATTAGGAACACCTGGGTCAAACTGAATCAGTCCAATCCAACAGTGCTGCAGTAAATCTTCCTCCATGAAGGTGAGGATGTTCAGTGTGTGTTCAGATGTTTCACAGAGGTGTTCGTTCACCTGCATGATCACAGTGGAGGCTGCAGGTTGTGCTGCTGTTATGTTGCATTATACTAACAGTTGTTTCTGTTATTTTGTCCAGCCCATACACAAAGACAGTCTAACATAGTAGTGCTGGACAGTAGCACACCCTCGCAACTGAATCATTACATTGTGAAACTGCCTAAATGTGGTAGAAAACTTCTGCTTCCCTTTTTTCTGGGTGAAATTCATTTTGCCCAGCTGGTTTCCAGTTCCTTCTACTGCCACTCAGTTACTTAATCACTTTTTATAGTGATGACAGTTTCACTTCGAGGCCGGAAGGGAAGTAAACATTATAGTTCTAGACGTTATCTAAATAAGGTTATTTCTTTTATAGATTTTCTTGAGGGTGGAAGAGTCACTGTGTTTGTGTGTGCACGGTCTGTCAAGCATAAGCATTTACTTTATTGCCAAGTATTATCAAAAACTAATCAAACAGTAAAATAATATTGAATAAATCTTTATAGTTTTTTTACAAAACCACAAGACAAAGCAGTTATTATAATACAATAAAGAACAAACAAAAATGAAGGCAAAAAGCAAGTCAATATTCATAATCTGTTAAAAAAAAATAATGATGATAAATAAAAACACAGACAAAATTCTGCTTAATTTAGTTTCACAGATTAAGAAAAAAGTTGGACTCTTCCCATCAAATATATCATTAATACAGGACTGACCTGTGACATATGTTGAACATAGAGAAATGTAACACTGACGGACTGTGGTTTTTATTAACAAAAGAGAAAGTGTGGTCAACTAACATATGTGGCAAGTCATGGTTAATACTGAAGCTTCTGAAACATCAAATTTATGAAAACCTGTTCCTGGTTCAGACCCCAGAAACACAGAGGTCTGGATTAACACAGAAACTGTTCATGGGAGCTTCAGACACTGAACCTGAGCGAAAGTGCTGCTGTGGTTTGAACCACGGACGGGGGTCAGGATGTGGACTCACACCCACTAGCCACCACGACCAATTCCTGTCACTCTGTTGTTGTTAGTAAATGTAATTTGAAGCAGTCAAAAAAAGTGGCCTCTGAACATGAGACTAAAATGCACCATGGAGACACATGGTTGCACTGGGTGACATGAAACACCAGACATTTTTGAAAAAGGCTGCTCCAAAGGTTTCAAAAGACCATATGCAGCTGAAGTAGGCAAACAAACTGCATGAGATGACTGGATATTTTTATCAGGTATCAGGGTCTGGTGTTTCATAATGAGGAGACATGTCACCCAGTGCAGTGGTGGACTTCCCTGTTTTTAACTATATTTGAACATTAGTGGACGTCTATGGCACAGACGTACAGGCTGATCCAGGACCTGACAGACTGACAGACATTACCAGTGAGTAGAGGCAGATCATCGTCTTTGTATGGGGAGTGAAAATACTGTTGGTATAGAAAATGACTGGCCTTGTCCTTTAAGAGCTGAAGTGGTCCAGTTCTATTTCTTATGAAGATGTGTTGTGTCAAATTGCTTTGTTTTTTTCTGGGCCCCCTCAGCTAGTCCTGCTGCACCTTATGGATGAATTGAACAGTTCTCCCAAAATGGCCACGGTAAATGCAGTAAGCCAGCAGGTCAACTCGGTGGAGCAGCTGTAGCAGGCTGATGAAGTTTAACCAAGACACAAATACACCGCCTCCTCCGTTTCCTCTGGGTGCGAATGAGACGTGACTCAACTTCTGCTGGCTACTGTGGAGTAGACGATGGCATCCTCCGCCTCCACTGCGGCTCTGAAGAGAACAAAACAGTCTATGTTGTGCTTCACGGTCAAATAAACAGACAGGTCCATTATAACCCATATAAACAAGCTCAAAGAACACAGCAAAACACAAAAGCTCCACAAATCAAAATCTACTCAAGACAATGACTTGATGGTAAAAGAGGTTCAAAAGCAGCAGCTGCAGATTTTTAATCACTGCTGATAAACCTGCTTTAAATACAGTGAAACTGGCTTTCAGGGACCTCGCCCTGTATATGGTGCACTCATTTCTCAATGTTCTGCACACACACACACACACACACACACACACACACACACACACACACACACAGACACACACACACACTGTATTTTTAACAAAAATACAAAATGAGGAAGATGGGTGTAAAAAAAACAAACTACACTTACCCAACACTTTATTAGGTACCACTTCAATGCAACACTTCCGCCTTAACATCTGTGTTTATGAAGCTCAACATGTTTTAGTTTTTAGTGAAACTGTCAAATGTATCAGTTCAATTCTATGTTTATTGTTGAGGTCACAGTTAAAGGTGGTGTTGTACTGGACGACATTATATTTATTATATTTTTGTCCTCCCCGGTTACATACATGAGAGGGTCAGAATATTAGGAACACCTGAATTTAAGGTAGCATGTTGAAACACTTCAGGATTCAACTAGAAGAAAACAAGTGCAGTTTATACAAAACGTTACAGTTGAATATTTCTGGAAAAGCTGCCCTGTTGTTGTGAAACAAGACACGTTTTTAACACTGCTTTCTGTTCAAGTGTTTTCACCAAACCATTTTTTCTTCTTTTTTATTTTGATTTTAACCTATTTTTTGTATTTAGTTTTATTTTTAAATATTTTAAGTCTTTTGCTTTTAGAGCACTTTTACCTGTGTTGTTTTGTAGAAATAACATTTACTAAGCTCTGAGCTCCTTTGTTCTGTCTCTGACATTTACGGCATGAACACACACAAACAAACAGACAAATAAACACATGAAGACAGACAGAGACAGGAAGCATCCGTCCCTACAGGTGAGGTATCAGCCCGTCATACCTGGGCTGGTTCTTGTGTGTGAACTGGACAGAAGCGTAGCTGACGTCCTCCACAGCCTGCTCGGTTTCCTGTCCATGACGCAACTCCTGCTTAGCTGGCATCAGGATGTTACTGTAAATGGCATCAGGACGCTGCAAACCACAGACAGACACGTCTGTCATGTCTTTGCTGTCAGTCGTCCGCCTGCAACTGTCTGAGTAAGGCACTGAGTAAAGTTGGTTCACTTTAAGAGATCTAAAAACCAAACCCATGTAGATCCACCGACTGCTTTGCATGTGTCAGTTAACACGACAGCAGCAGGTTCTTATGACGTGTATCACTTTATTAACAGTAATATGGTCCATTTCATTGCTTTGCACACTGTACATTATGTGTCCCCAAGTATATTTCAGTATATTTTGTTATTTACCATATTGATGGTTATAAAAGCTATGCTTAAAAATGGCAACACTATATATTTACTTAAAATAAGGGTACAATGTTATTGAGTATATAAAAATACAATAACTACAGCTAAATGAGCTTATTAGTATGTTGTAGTATTCATTGAGAATGTACTTTTAATTAAAAAGTAGTAGTCAAAATGTTACTTCAGGTTTTATTATAAAAGATGCTGAAGCACAGTTAAACATGTATGTTTTCCAAAACTGTGTGTTTTTAATAATTATCCTAATGTACAACTTGGGTTTTGCTGCTGTGTTGCCAGAAAGAGCAGGTTCTGAGTGGCCACAAGCTGCTGCACATTCATACCCTGGTTTGTTCGAGGCAACCATAAAGAATCCCCTCCCCTCCGCTAAAACAAGGATAATGTGGGAGACAAACAAAAAATTAAAAATAACAGACACTGATAACAGAAGCAAAGACACCACTCACCTTTTGCTCCACCTCATCTCCCCCAGCTCTAGGACCTGCGGCTGCTCGCTTCCTGCAAACACAAGTTATAAATTATTTGAAAGCTGTATCAGATTTGGTGGCACAATAAACGACTGCACTCATACGAACTGCTATACAAACATTATTTAACTGCAAACTGCATAACCAATGAACTCTGACCTGAGTTTGAAGTGGGGCAGAGTAGACATATGAAGTAGAATAAAATACAATGGTCAAAATCAAAGAAACAATTAATGACATGTACTTAAGTACAGTACTGAAGTAGGTCAGTCTACTTAGATGCTCAGTAACAAACCACTCGCTGTGATAGCAGGAGGTTGATTAAAGTACCTAGTGATGACAAAGATGACCAGGACGAGCACGCAGAGAGCCAGCAGCACAGCGACAGACGCACCGGCCACCACAGTGACAGACACACGGCTTGGATCTGGCCCTGCACCTGGGTAAAGTGTTTGCAGCTCAAAATAAGACCTTAGAATGTTTGATACTTTTGCATTGAGGCATATCGATAAATCATTTGATTGCACGTTTTCCAGGCGGATTCATATCAGATTCTGAGTCCGTGTTGAGCAGGTTCAACAGCCTCAGTATGAACAAAATAACAACAGCAGCATTTACAAAGTGTGGCTGTGTGAGATTCAGCTGTTTGCGACTTGCTGTGTTGTCAGGACATCAGGAGACTCTTGTGCACAGCAGAAGGACTGAGTGCAATGCTGTGCTTTTAGCAGCTCAATTAAGAGACATTTTGAGCAGGAAGTGGTTCAAGTCTAAAGAAATCTGCCTGAAAAATGTCATAAACTCACATTAGGATGAAGAAGCAACATGTGCAGCATCTTCACATTTAATGTAAACGATCGACTTTGTCAGTTCTTTGCTGACAATACTGAAGAAAGAAAATGAATTCTCTTGAATGTGTTTAATGATTAGTTTAAGTTTCCTCCGTCTACACACTGATTTGCAGACAGAAGCCATTCTGAGTGTTGCCTCACTTCTTCACGTGAAACATGAGAGAAATGTTGTGAACAAGGAGCTGAGAGGAGTTCGGACACAGCGGAGTGACTGCTGACTCTGTCTGAGAAGCTTAAACCTACATCCTACACCTTATGCCACATCCTGTCCCACTGTCACTGGGGTTATCAGATGGTGGGGGGAATCTTAGGTAACATACATTTAAAGAAACATCAGGACCCTGGTACAGTTCTAACGTGGACAAGATTTTGTTCATATGAGGTACATATGTAGTTCAGGTGGTGTCTGAACCCTGTGAACATGTTGCCAGATTGAACCCAAACTAACCGTTCTCCACATGCAGACTGTACAGCTGGGAGCGCCTGTTGATGTTGGTCTTCAAAGCACAGGTGTAGTTCCCAGAATCCTTTGCCATCAAATTCCTGAGCTGGAGGGCGGGGCCAGTCTCTGAGAGGGCGTTGTCGTCTCTGAACCAGGCGACCTCCAGTTGGTGAAAAGTGCAGCGTGCAGTGCAGTGTAGTTTGACTGTCTGACCCTTTGTCACTGCTGTCTCACCAGTGGAGCTGGTTATCTGCATTTCAGTGGGATCTGCTGATAAAGTCGTAGGTTTTCGTCATTTTTCATTAAAGTGTCAGTGGCATCTGCAGATAAAGTTGTAGGTTTTCGTCATTTTTCATTAAAGTGTTGGTATTAAAATCCCTTTAACTAATTTTTGATGAATACTGAGTCTGTTTTAATACATATTTGTGACATTTTATTCTTTAAACACTGTATCAGTTTCTCTACATCCTCTAACAGCCATTTCTTCTGCTCTGCACAGTGACGTCATCTGGCAAGACGCTGTGCTGACCAGTCATATACAGGGGAATGTGGATGCCCATGAGAAGAAGACCCTTATTTACCATGATGCCACGGTTATCACAAGCACTGAGCACCACTCATTCTCCTGGGCCACAGTTCAAAGTGCAGCACAACAACACACCATGTGCTTTACTGCAGGTTAAACAGTGGTTTATCTATCCATGTGACACAATGGTGGTGGAAACCGGTGAGAAGTTGAGTATGTTAGCGATAAAAACTAAATAGAAATTCACAGGCTGGAAACATGACAGAGGCCACTCATGTTGTCAGACTCATCACAGCGTGGCCATATTGTACACATCAACCGCTCTCCTCCGTGACAAACTGTGAAGGGTTGTGTTTCAACACACCCAGTCTGAACGCTGGCTAATGGCCACAGCTGGAGGTGTTGGACTACATACAGTGGTTTTTGAACTGGAGTCTGATCCTGAATGGGAAGAACCTGCTGCACAGCTGCAGCTTCAACAGGAGAAGGTTGTGTTTAAGTTTCCTGAGAAAGTAAGAAACTTTCTTTCACACCGAGGCAGCTAGCTTAGCTTTAGGCCTATTTCTTTAAGTGAAAGACAAAATGAAACTTGACACTTGGTTTAAAGCTTCAACAAAAGTGTAGTTAGTGTTTCACTTATGATATGAAGTCACTAAACTTCTCATGAAGGTTATGTTTGGATATTTCAGGTGCACCAGTGAGACTTGCAGTAAACAAACATTCCCAGGGTGTCAAATACTGATGTCAAGTACCTTTTGCATCTACAGACGCTAAAAAGTGCCTTTGGTGTCTGTATGAGGCGCTTAAGCTACTTGACATGTCATCAGTATTTGACGCCCCAGGAACGAGGACGGGGTCAAACAGACTCAGCAGTGAAATGTCCTGGACACAAACACACACTTCCTGATAATGGAGAGAATACTGCCTCTGAAAATGACTTTCAGCAGCAGTCCTTTAACACTGATGAATATTAATGATTCTTATTTTTATATAATGAAGACGTGTCGCTCTTACTATCGACTGTGACCTTCACTCCTGATTGCCCAGTAAAGTGTCCTGATGAATCATTCGCTTCCATTCTGAAGCGAAAGGTTGTGCTGTCTTTCATCCTTACATCTCTGATCTGTAAAGTACAGTTTCCCTTCTTGTCTCCCAGGTACTGATAGCGAGGGTCGTTGTTCTGGTTCTCACTGTCATACACAGACGGGGTGGTGCCTTGACAAATCTCATGATTCTGGCACCAGACAACTCTGATGATCTGAAGTGAAGGCTTAGGTGATGTAAAGTTGCAGGGGAGGGTGACAGTTGATCTTCTTACAGCACAAACAGGACCCGGATAGTTCACATATTGACCCGCGGCACCTGGATCCAAACATGGATGTAGAAAATGAATGACATTGATAAAACAAGATTTACTGAGCCAGTATCTGATCAGCAGCATTTCCACATGCAAATTGTTTTTGGCGGCGTCTCGATCTTTCCGCAAACAACAGACATGAATCTCCATTTTATTCTTGATGTGACAGAGCTACAACTACTCTACTTTCGGTTGTTCCCGTTAGGGGTCGCCACAGCCAATTCGATTCGCATGAGTAAATTTGCCATGTTTTTACGCCGTTCCTGACACAACCTTCTCTATTTAACCGGGCTTGGGACTGGCGCACAGGTCACTGGCGTGAAACCCCTGTGGCTACACACACACACTCACTCCTGGGGGCAATTTAGTCTCTAATCAACCGAAGCTGCATGTCTGTGGACTGTGGGACGAAGCCAGAGAGAACAGGCACAGGGAGAACATGGCACAAGGAGAACATGAAAACTCCACACAGAAAACCTCCAACCCAGAACCTTCTTGCTGCAGGGCGACACCGCCCCTGATGTGACAGAACTCAAACTATAAAAACTGGACAAAACACAGGTAAAGACTGTCTGACGTGCAGTACGGAGTGTGAGTAACGACAGTGAACCTCAGTAACCATGTTGGACTGAAACAAACATAGACGACAGCCAGCAGCTGGGACTGATCCTCTGCTCAGACGTTTGTGTTAAAAAAGCAGAGCTAAGCTCATCAAGTGTGGTGAGATCCTGGATGGACGATACAGCAGGGAGCTGTGCCACTGAAAGCTAACTCCAGCTAAGGCTGTTTGTTCATCAAACATCTGTCACAAACATAAGATGGAAAATTGGCTGATTAATCAATTAGTCAATCAGTAGGAAATTAATCCTCAATTATAAGTGATTTAAAAAAGTGATTAGTTGGTAGTGGGGAGCAGAGTGAAGCGGTGGTTAGTACTGTCACCTCACAGCAGAATTCTGGGTTGAACCCAGGGCCTTTCTGTGTGAGTCTGCATGTTCTCTCTCTGCCTGCGTGGGTTCTCTCCAGCTTCCTCCCACGGTCCAAAGACATGCAGCTTAGGTTGACTGGTGACTCTAAGTTGCCTGTGTGAGTGTGTGTGTCAGGTTGTTTGTCTACATGTCAGCCCTTTGACAGACTCGTGATCCTATTTCAGGAAGGTATAGATAATGGATGGATGTTTTTTTTTTGGTAGCACACACCAATGATTGCAACATCCACAGTTTGATTCTGGCTGGCAACCTCTGTTGGATTTTCTACTGTCTCTTTGTGCCGGTGTTTCCTGTCTGTGTCTCTGCAGCATCCAACAAAGGCAAAATGATCTTATTAATCAAACTACTGTAAAATTACTGCTGAATTCGAGTAGAGCTGAGTTTAGTCTGAGTCGAGTCCCTGTTAACTGAGTCAGAGTCATCAAGGTCTACGTTAACCACAACTGACACAGCGCTCACCATTTTATATTCTAAACTATTCTAAACTTTCTGTCTTTACACTAAATTAACACATCACATATGTCAGCTGATGTCTCCAGTAAACAAAATAACACCAGTCAGGAAGCATTCGTACCTCCCAGGAAGAACATGATGATCCAGGGAATTAGTTTGTCCCAAACTGCCATCCTTATTTTTCTGGAGCGTCTCTTTGCTTGTATCAGGCCAGAGATGCGAGTGTGACTGGCTGTGAAACGTTCCCGTGGTCACTTTTTAACTTTTTCCTTCCTTCCTTCCTTTTTCTGAGAACCTGTCTTTCAGCAGCTTTGTGCTGGAATCCAGATCAGAGGGTCCAGAGCAGCGACACCGTCAGTCCTCTCACTGTTACTTCTCTAAAGTGCCGATATTCATTTCACTGTATCATGGTTAATGGTCTCATACTTGTATAGTGCTTTTCTATACACCGCAGAACACTCAAAGCGCTTTCACACTATTCACACCCATTCGCACTCAAACATCCACGGTGTCATCACTGGGAGCAACTGCCAGTTCAATGTCTTGGACGTGTGGACTGGACAAGCTGGGAATCAAACCACTAATCTTCCAGTTAGGAGACGACCCGCTCTATGCCCCTGCTCTGCTTCATAACCATCACCCGTCCTGATGAGGATGTTGAAACCGGAACAGCACTAAACCAGTAACATGTTTATAAAAGGGAACATGGTGATGCCCATATCTCGCAACAGTGTTGTCACCACTAGAAGTTCCTCCCATGTTAAAAATATACCTATTATCTGTTGTTGCAATCACAAGTAGCTCAGTGCCTGAGCTTGAACAACATCTCGGTGCTCATCTCGGTGTGTTTCCTCTGCTCATCCCACACAAAATAAAACTCTGTTTTCTATAGGCTCTTGGAAGGTTTTACAAATGGAAAACCTCATGAATTAAACCATCACAATAGCCAGGTCACAAATATCTCCAAGGTTCCTCACAGTAGGAGTGGAGGCCAGAGCTACGCCATGTAGAGTAACTATGTGGTGAGACTGTAAAAGAGGTTTCCCTGGGGTCTCCCTGGTAACACAGTAGTCATATAAACATAAATAATTTAAGTAAAATAAATTTATTAAGCACACATAAGCACACTGAGGTACATATAAGTACATTTCCTGTTTATTATCTAACACTGTGATGACGCAACACAAGAGGCGGGGTCTCCACTCCCGCGAGGACCAGTGCTGTGAGGAGGATGGTGCGTGATGTCTCACTCTGTCCACATGTCTGGAAACCACATATGTCAGAATACTGGCAGACCTGTAAACCTACTGCTGCTGGACTGAGCCTACATGAAGAGATGGAGGTTTTCCTGTTGTCTCAGACTCTCACCTGTGGAATTAGTGCCACTAATTGGTGCCACTGACTGGCCCTCACCTTCCCCTGTCCTAAATCCAATTGAGCACCTATGGGAGATTATGTATCGGTGCATCACCAAGCACCACCACAGGCTGTTCAGGAGCTCACTGGTGCCCTGAGCCAGGTCTGGGAGGAGATTCCCCAGGACACCATGTGCCGACTCATCAGGAGCATGGCCAGACGTTATCAGGAGTGCACATAGGCAGACGGGGGCCACACACACTTCTGAGTCACATTATGAGTTGCAGTATTAAAACTCACACAACTCTGGTGAACCTGTGGTTTAAAATTTTCACTTTGATATTCAATGTGATTTTGAATCCAGCCTCCATGGGTCAATGATTTTGGTTTCCATTGACGGTTGTTAAGTCAGTTTGTTCTGAACTAATAATACACTGTACATCATGGTTGTTAGGTCAGTTTGTTCTTAAAGGCTGAAAACCATTATAAAGAGGTTTTCAACTGGAATAATTTGTTCAAGATCTGATGTGTGATTTAAGTGCTGCCTTATTTTTTTTTAGCAGTGAATATTTGTAAAGTGGTGGTGCATATCTCAGAAAAGTAAAATCAAAAGAGAGAATAACAGAATAACTCAGTGCAGGAATAAATCAAAAGTAAAAGTCAGTCAATCAGATTCTGGTTCTGCTCTCCATACTGTTTGCATAAAAAATCTAATCTTGTATCAATTTAATCCTTGTTTTGTTGATTTTTAATTGACAGCTTGTGCTGAGGTTGAGTTGGCAGAATTTTATTGTGGCTCAGCATATAAAACTGATAAAACAAATGAACATTGCACCCCGATGAAGCTCATAGAAAGAGAACTATTAATGCTGATCTAACCTATATTAGAATTGTGTTGGTCTGGCGTAAATAATTTCGTAGTAACTGAGCAAAGTGTAGAAAGTGTTGCACTCACCCCCACCTTATTCTGCTCCTTCCACCGTTGTCAGCAAGCCTTTGAAAAACTACAACGAGTAATAATCCTGATGTCGCGGGCTTTGCTTTTTCCGCTGAGTGAGTCATCTTTCACAATAGACGATCTTCGACCAGTCTCATCGCGAGCTCCTCCGCGCAGCCTCCCTGTATCCCGCGAGCATCACTGCGCACCGAGCGGAGCACAGACACAGACGCCGACACCCTGAGTGGATGTGCGAAGGCTTCGTCTCCTGGATCGGTGGTTCGTCTTCGGTAATTTCGCTCTGTGTGTTGTCCGTTCTCTATGGATGTGAAGTAAAAGAGGCCAGCAGTCAGTCGGTGTCCTCTCCATCTCTGCGCTCTTCTCCCCGCACGGTCAGGACCGCATCCCGCTGCCCCACAAAATGGCGGACATCATCGAGCTGGGACCCACCTACGGTGAGAACCAGGCCCCTTTTCTCCATCTGTCTGCAGTTTAACGTCTGAAGAACCTTTGTTAAAATGTTCAGTTATATTGTATCGGGAGTTATTATGGCTTTATCATCAATCTAACAAGTGTATTTGACTAAATGTCCTGTGTCGTCTCCATTAATCTTCATCATCCAGTTAATGCAGCGCTGTATCAGCCAACACCCGCTGTTTTTTATTTTATCCGGGGCCGATTTTCTTAATTTAAACTCTCAAAATGTGATAATTTCCGCATAAGAGTCGTTTATCGTCCTTTTAAACATCTGAATATTTTACCACAGGCAGGTTGGACTTTGAATATTTGAATATTTTACAACAGGCAGGTTGGAATGGGTAACAAATTAAAAATGTTGTGATTTTATTAAAAAGGATTCAAATAGTAGCCCACACCAACACAAAGCTGTGCTAGTAACATAACATCCTCTAGACAGACGCGGTAAACTGGGCGTTCTCGTGCTCCTACGCACGGTCTATCTCGCCCTTGGCCTGGGAATGCGTGCGCGCGTGCCAGTCGGGGTGGGTATCGGGTGACGTCATGTCTGTACCCGGCGCCGTGCACTGAAAACAAACATACATACTTACATACATGCATGAACAAGAAAGAGCGTGTACGCTAATATCGCCGTTGTTATTATTTAGATGAGCGTCGTTTGTTGTTTGTTTGGTGATGCAGTAAACGTAGCGGGTTCGGGCGGGGTTCAGGGGCTGTTCTGGGTCACTGGAGACCCGGGTCTTACCCCTGAAACCTTTGAATGAGCGCAAGGTCGTACATCTATCCAACGTGATAAACCGTGACACCACAATAACATATACACACATGCACATCACATGGCCGCTTTATTAGGTACAGTCCAGGTCAACGGCTCTGCCGCAAATTCTACATTCAACATGATTTTAATGTCCCGGTTTTGGAAGATCCACGTTTGAATGAGGAAACACATGATCAGATTTTCCCATAAATTATTCTTAATTATTCTCACAAAATGGGTGTTGTCACAGTTTCCCTTTTCTTTGTATGATAATGTTTTGATGTCACTCCGACATTATTACATGATTGTTACTTATTAGTACTCTTTACAAGTAATTTTCATCATACTGTTACTTCATGAGCAAATTGGTTTTACAGTTCCCACAGTGAAGAAGAAGGCGCAGTCAGGTGGAAGCCGGTCTGGGTTTCACACGTTGTTCCGACTAAATAAAAGCTTGCACACATGTTTACATCCTGTTCTGTCTGAACAGCATCTGGTTTTCACTGTGATCAGTTTCTAAGGCTTTCTTTCAGTGAGTGCAGCTTTTACTGTCAGACAGCTGATAATACAACAACACCTACATGTTTATCACACGTCATGGTGTTGTACTGGACTGTTCTTAGTATTCTGACTCCTTATGTTTGTGAATGCTGTTACTTAATATTTGCTGAATCTTTCCAGCAACATTTGAGCAATGTGAAATATATGAAAATATGAAAAACGGCCTCAGTAAACATCCAGTTACACCGAGTTCATGGCCACCTGTTGTGTTTGTCTCACATTCAGTGATGTGGCCACTGAGTGTTGTTGAAAGCAGTGGAAGCAAAGCTTTATTTAAAACTGTGAAAATAAAAGTACTCGTTAGCTGTAGCCCTAAAAGATTGCTCAAATGTTGCTCGAAAGATTCAGCAAATATTAAGTAACAACATCAGAGTTTTTGCTAGAAATGATTCTTTTTGGTTAAATGTCACATGGGAACTGTTTTCATTTCAAGTCTTTTACATCAGTAAACGCAGCAGAACAGCAGTAGGAGTCATGAATAGTCAGCTCAGACAGTTTCAGCAGAGATCTGTTCCAGAACGTGTTCCTGTGGATGCCGAGAGGTGTGTGTTCTGTTCTAAAGGTGCATCAGGCCAGTACTCACGTTCCAGTCGTGTCTGTGACAAACAGGGTGAAACACTTTTGCCTTCACTCTGATTGAACTTTGACCTGTGAAAGGTCAAACGTTCTCCACTGTCCAGCCAATCAGAGAGGGGCTGTGACCTCTGACCTCTCATCAGTTTTCTAACTGCAGTGACATAATCTCTGCCGCAGAGAGGCTGCTGTTAGCCTGCTAGCCATGCTAGCTCCTGCAGGTGATGATTACAGCCCCACCCACTCTACTTCCTGTCCCTTCCTGCTAGTGACCACACCACACGATTACATTTCCCCAGGTGGATTTAGGTCTGACTGCACCTTAAGGCCACTCAGGAGTTTTTTAGTCCCAAATCAGTCACCTCTAGCTAATTTCATTGTCAGGCACATTTCAGCATTGCACGCAGTGTGTGCACTCACATTTCCCCAGGCTGATTGAATGCACAGAGCCAGCATTGTTGGCGCACGCAGTGTGTGCACTCACATTTTCCCCAGGCTGATTGAATGCACAGAGGCCAATTAGAACATGCAGTGTGAGTTAACACGTCATACACAACCCGTAAAACAGGTTTTAGAGTGAGCTTTACCTTATGGCCAATCAGAGAATGCCAAAGGCAGATGTAGGGGTGAATATGTGAGCTGCTGGCTCTCACACCAATGCTTAGGCTAGCGTTAGCTGCTGGAAGATGAGGCTATGCTAACTCACAGGTTCCTGCATTAGCTGAGACCATGTAGTGCTCTGCGTAGGGAGTACTTTAACTTTTGGTACTTCAGGTATATTCTGATGCTAATACTAAAAGCTAAACTCAAAATGTGTGTTTGTGTGGCAGCTTCAGTGTGTTCTTTTGGAGCAGGACAACAATCCTCCTCTGTTTGTTGCAAACAAAGGCCTCAGCAAGCCCCTCACCCCTCCCGTCTCTCCTCCTCCTTCTGTTTTTTGCTGTCTCTCTCTCTCTCCTCCTCCTCCTCATCAGGGATCAGTTCAGTTACTCTTCACACACAAACACTTCTCTCCCTGATGTTTCTAACAAGACCTCTGGAGACTCACTGTGGTGACATCACCGTGTTTACATGATGTATCTGTTTATAACTATGATGTCACCATGTCCAAGGATGATTACATCATTAGTGACTCTGCACTGGGTACTGTGGTAGGGTATATACAGTACTAAAATACTCTGTCAATTTAAACCCAAGTTGTGTTGCACTATGGGAAATGCAGGCTGCGCTGGTGCTGGAGTTTGGTCCATACTGGAGAGACTAAAGGTCAGGAGATTTCCAGCTCTTTCCAGTGCTGCATTTATTATTTCTATAGGTACTGATCCTCCCAGGTGTTTTCAGCTCATTCTTTGTGTAGCAGCAGTTTTCTGAAAAATAGTCAACAGATTAATCTGTAATAGAAACAAACTGTCGCTCCTCAGGCTAGTTAACTCCAGCTGGGAGCCACTGGCCGCAACACTTTCGTTGGCAGTAAAGGAGCATGTCACAGATCTACTATTTGTTGCCACTTTTCCAGAACATCTGATTATACTTTCAGCAGTTTCACCCCTCACGTCTTCAGGTCACTAATAAAATAAACAGAATAAATCAGAAAAATCAGTCGTCGCAAGTCTTGCTGATGGTTCTGTTCTCACTCGTGTGTCCTTGATGATTTTCTGTTCCTAATGTCTCTTCTCTCCCTGTCTCAGCCATGTCTCCAGTGCTGGCGGGCTTCCTGGGAGCTGGTGTTCTGGTTCTGGTTGTGGTGGTTCTGGTTCTGCTCTGGTCTTTCTGTCAGCGTCGGTACCTGCGTGTCTCCGGACGCTACAAGCTGCACGGTGACCGATATTGTGATGCCGAGGACCCGCCCTACAAGTTCATCCACATGTTGAAAGGCATCAGCATTTACCCAGAATCCCTCAGCAGCAGCAAGAGGATCGTGCACAGTATCCGGCGGGCTGACCGTTCTGATCGGGAGGGAGAGCGAAATTCCACTGGTGCCAGCGGCGCTGGAAGGGGTATGGTGCTGGTGGACGCCGAGAACAACATCTTGGATGTCCCGGGGCAGCTGCAAATGAACCACCTGGTCCCCCCCGCTGGGACGGGCCCCGCCCACAATCAGGCCCGGCTGGAGCGGGCGCTACCGGTCCGCGCTGACTACTGCTGCCTAGACAGCAGCTCGGCCAGCAGCAGCCAGACCAGCAGCAAGACGGTGTCCCCCTTCACCCCCGCCTCCTCTGAGCCAGAGCCAGAGCCCAGTCTGGGGACCATCAGCCTCACCGTTGATTACAACTTCCCCAAGAAGGCCCTGGTGGTAACCATCGTCGGTGCCCGGGGCCTCCCTGCCATGGACGAGCAAGCGGGCAGCTCGGACCCGTACGTGAAGATGACCATCCTGCCAGAGAAGAAGCACCGCGTCAAGACCCGTGTGCTGAGGAAGACCCTTGACCCGCTGTTTGACGAGACCTTCACCTTCTACGGCGTGGCCTACAGCTCGCTGCCCGAACTCACCCTGCACTTCCTGGTCCTCAGCTTTGATCGCTTTGCTCGTGATGATGTCATCGGTGAGGCGGTGGTGCCACTGAAGGGCGTGGACCCAAGTACAGGCCGAGTCCACCTGAGCCAGCAGATCTCCAAGAGGAACATGCAGGTGAGTGTTTCAGCTTTCTACCCAGCCAGCGTGCCAAGCCACAGATGTCTGTAGAGGGTCTGATTAAATATGTGGAGAGACGGACCTGCTCACACACTCTTACCCCCAGCTCGTTCATTTCCTGTGCATTGCGTGCCAAGATACAAAAATTGAAAGGTATGCGACTTGGCACCACACCACGTGCCAGCATTTGTGACGTCATTTTTGGTGCGGTGCCAAGTCGCATGCCTTTCAATTGAACCAGTACAACGTGTTAGTGGGGTTTGTGGTGCTGAGACTTCCTGCAGGTCCACTGAAAGGGAACCCTGTCCTTTAGAACCAGGGACTGATTTGTGCAGTTCGGTTTCTGTCAGCTCATCCAGCGGTGCCGTCTCAGATTGTCAGTGTGCTCTCAGACATTTCAGTCAGTCCAGATATTTCCATTTAGTCATGAACTAAATGGTAATATCTAATATCTGATGGGAATGTGTGCTACACGTCTCCCCTGTGACTGAATGAATGTCCTCTCTGTATTTCCAGTGTGAGACTCGTGGAGAGCTGCTGGCCTCTCTGTCCTACCAGCCGGTGTCTCACCGTCTCAGCGTGGTCGTCCTGAAGGCTCGACACCTCCCCAAGATGGACATGACGGGCCTGTCAGCAAGTGAGTCAACACCCGGACAGATGTTCCCTTTTATAGCCGCAGGGTGTTTTCCTGCTTCCTGCCCCGGTGGTGGTGGACCTTGTTGAAACTAACCCTCATCAACTGACATTCTTGCTCTTCTTCACTCCTCAGATCCCTATGTCAAGGTGAACGTCTTCTACGGCCGTAAGCGCATCGCTAAGAAGAAAACCCATGTGAAGAAGTGCACACTGAACCCAGTCTTCAACGAGTCCTTCATCTACGACATCCCGCCTGAGCTGCTGCCCGAGATCTCCGTGGAGTTCCTGGTGGTCGACTTCGACCGGACCACAAAGAACGAGGTGCTGGGCCACCTGCTGCTCGGCCTCCACAGCCCCTCAGCCTCCGGAGTCTCCCACTGGAGGGAGGTCTGCGAAAACCCCCGTCGGCAGATCTCCAAGTGGCACAACCTGAGCGAGTACTGAGCGGGGACCAGCAGGAAGCAGCTGGGACTCCACCAGTGAACGCCACTGGCAAACAAAGACTCAGTGTACAGCACATTCACACACATACACACACACACACATTACAACATACACACACTCTGTTGTGCTCATAGTTAAACACTCTGTCTCTATTATCTCTCTGTCACCTCTGCATTTTACAAGTCTGAGCAAAGTCCTGCCGTTCGTGACTTTGGCTGACAAACACAAGTAAACGAGCTGTTTTTAAAAGAGAAACCATGGAATCCATTTCTCAGACTGCCCTCATGTCTGCTGGCTGTCAATGTGTGTAGATGGGGGGGGAGGGAATGCCCACGTGTGATTGAAAAAAAAAAAAATTCCCCTCCTGCTGTTGTTGTCATGCACTTCACCGCATGTCTGTCCGAAAAGAGAGAGAAAACACTCCAGATGAAGAGCTGGGACCTGCTGACTGGTCGACAGGAAGAAGTTCTAGCTCTGACAGAAGAGACGCGCTCAGTAGCACCGCATAGAACTAAACGCTGCATATGCCCACATATAGTTACTCCTCAGTAGGACTGAAAAAGAAACTGCTGCAGATCTCGTGCCACCTCTCGCTCCTGAGACTCGACCATCTCTCAGCGATAATCCTTGTTTTGGTCGGCAGCATGCTCCCTGCCTGCAGCGTGACAGCTCCACTCCTCTTAAAGAAAGTTCACGATCCCTGTCATTCATTGTTCCTGCAGCAGAATGTACGACTGCACCCTGACACTTTCCAACATGACGACGTATGTGGTGGATTTCAAACTGTGGACTGATACTGTGGATGCTGATGATCCGGCCTTGTGCTGATGGACACGAGCAGACTGAGAGACCTTGTAAAATACTTGTGTGTAACATGGAAGCTTTCCTCTAATGTTTCATTTACAAAATCCTCAGGAAGCTGAGAGCAGCTGTGGTGCATATGGTTTATTATAGGCTCATTATTTTCAGATGAACATTTCAGTCTGGGCCACGACTTCATTGTCTCCTTATCAGTCCATCATCGAGTCTGAACCCACAGTCCTTCCACTAACTCGTGTCAGACCAGTCATGTGCTCAGTCAGGCTGGGAACAATGTCAGACATGTCTGAGCGAGTGAGTCCAAAGTGATGGGGACAGAATGCCAGAGTTACATCATTATTGCTCAGCACAGATCGGTTTGAGGTCCGATGTGTTGCCTGTGCTCCATGTGGTCTGTTTTACTCATCAGACTTTAACTGCTTTACCTCAACTTCACTGTCACTAGGGAGACTAGTTTCACAGCCAGTTAACACACAAACACATACTTGAACAGAAAATATAAAACACTGAAAATGTGAAAACAGGTGCTGAAAGCTCACAAACCACGTGTACATCAGCGTCACTCAACATCAGGCACAGTTTCTATTAGGGAACTAATGTCAGTGGCAGTTACACCTGCAGGTAGCACAGGTACATGACTAACCAGCCCCTATAAAACTACTAGTTTGTGAGCAGTTGGTAAAACTAAGCTACGCTTGAGCTTCTGACCAGCTTGACAAGCTAGCATCTTGTGTGTTCATGTTGTGGTGAAGTACTGGTGGGCTCCACAGATGTGTTTCCTGCTGCTGGTTAAACAGTTGAAGTCAGAGAGAACGAGCCTGTGTCAGTGCTGTTTGTATAAGGTTAACAGCTGCAGACACCTCATGAGAAATTCTGTGGCTCTTGCTGTCTTTCAGTAAGATTTTAAACAGGAAGAAGTCCTGTAAATAAAACCGGTGAGGTGCCCTTGATGCTAAAAGCTCCCAATGGCGTCAGTGAGGAGCTGCTCCTGGCGCGAGCTCTCGGCGTCCATGGCCCTCCAGGGAGAGCATCCTGATCTCTGCATCCTGCAGCTGATTTCCCCAGTGGTCTGATTTTAGATGCTTCAGTCAAATGCTGGATTACATTCATTACGTAGTATTTTCAGGCAAAGCACTGCACACTGCAGCTCCAGTTCAGGTTAGAAGGTTGTCAAAGGAGAACATGAACCTCTGGTCTCCTGCATGAACAAGTACAAAGTTGTGTAGTTAATGCACACGTCACATAAACTGTAGGTGTAAGGCTGTTTAAAAAGCAGCAGCAGCATAAATGTGCTGCCTGCGCACTGACTCCCACTGACAGGCTCAGCAATGGCAGGTGCAATCAACCATCCACAAACATCACAAAGTAAAAGTAAGTAAAAGTTCTGCATATGTTCAGTTGTGACCCAGAAAATCTGCACACCTGCATTTTATTCTGAACATACACAAACATGTGACAACAAGAAGCTTTACCTTAACTAAATGAATCTTTATAAGACATTTCTCTAATGTTCCTGACTGAGGGTAAAGATATTGAGCAGTCGTCTAACGTACACGTTAACTCCTCTGCCACTTCACAGGCAGATTGGTGTTTCAAGTGTGTATTTTCAGACAGTCTGACCATTGAATCCAGGATGACGAGCTGGCTGCTACTGAGATAAAATCAGCTGCTTGTCTTCAGACACGGCTCTGTTCTGTGAAGCCTCGATAACAAAGTGGTGAAATAATATTTATTTATGTCAGTATGGTCATCGAGCCCTGCTCTCTGATGAAACAACGTGGGTGCTCTGTGGTACCTGGAGATCATGAAGTCAGGCTCTTAACTGGTCTGAAATCCCTGCTGGTGACCACAGCTGCCTCGGCTTTAGCACATTCCTTTTTTCTCTGCCTCATGTTGTACATGTTCATTCTCTGATTTACACTGGAGTCAGCCAGCTGCCGGGGCGGCCACAGCCCAGTGGACGCTTCTCTACAGTGAATCTGACACTGACTGTTTTATTAATGAACACAGTTTATTTGAGCGAAGACAGACTCTGTCTGTCCTCCAACTTTTAGTCTTACAGCACATTTTAGTCCCAGTTGAAGTTACTCCACCCTGAAGCTAACGTGTCAGAGATGAGGAACTAGTGTAAAACTAAACTTCCCTTTGACTCACAGAGATGTGGCAAAGTCGTGAAGAGCCACAGATGCAAGAGACGCTGTGGACTGACTGTAGATTTGTACAGATGTGATGATCCTTCCTGTCTGATGTCCTCAGAGCTTTAGTGTTTGAGCGCCCCCTGCTGTAGACCTGGATGCTAACCTCTGTGTTGGGTTTGTTAACACTCATTGGACGTGCAAATAAAAAACAAGTTAGCCATGGTGGCGTCTTGGTCTCTTGTCTATTTTCTGTAACACTTGTGTCTACGTGCACTTACACCCAGTGACACTCACGTAATGCCGTTTGTCCTAAAAAGCACAGAGCGCTTCCAGCCTTCCAAAGAAGTGTTTTCACTGTTTTTCAAAACTGATCTTGCCTAAAATTAATGTTTTACTCCACTACATTTAGACAGTTACTTCACAAGTTAAGGTTTAACAACAAACATCTGGCCAGCTGAGAAAACGTCATTTGACCCAGTGCTACAGATTAAACTACACAACAGGGTAGAAAGTGCAGGCAGGCCCCAGACTCTGAGGGGCCCCCAGAGCCCAGGTTCAGTGTGTGTTTATTATTGTTGGTACCAGGAGAAAAAATCCTTCACCCAGTTAGAAAGAGTCTAGAGATGCAGAAAATATTGTCATAACAACAGTTTTTAAATGACCTTGTGGGTTTGTTGGTGACCTCTGACCCCAATATGACCTACATTTGTACAGGAGGGCCACAGATTGCGGCTGGACGCTGAGTCAGGTTGGAACCTGAGTCTACGTAGATCTGTTGGTTGGACACAACAAGACATGAAGATGCCACCTTTGGCTCTGGAGAGTCACAGTGGGACATTTTCCCAGTGTCTGACATTCTGGAAATAAACATTAATCAGATCATCAGGACAATGATCAGCTGATTGATCAGTCACCCTGCTGGTTGGGTTTCCACTCAGTCAGGAGGCTCCTTTGCCTTGTCACCATCTGTTCAGTAAATAGGTGGCAGATGTTTATCGTGACAGACTGGTGAGACAGCGGCAAACTGGCACAGAGAGATAAGGCGCACCAGGCTTTGTCACACATTTAGTGTTGGTTCAGATCTGTCCATGGGAAACACTGAACAGAAGAAACCAGACGGAGCTTAATGACCATCTACTGAGTCTTCAGTTAGTCTGTAGAGGTCGACCTCTGTGCTTTTCTTCACCTCTGCTCATGTAAAATCCACCAGCCCAGAGGGGCTGCATGATAAATTGTTGTGAGAGCATGATTCAGATCCCTGTGCGATCTCTGTCTCACTTGACAATGATTCTGCGGTGTTCACATTAACAGGGAGACACCTTGCATCAAGCCAAGTGCACCCTTTTCCTTGCTAAGCTGCATTAACCAATAACGGCAAAGTGATTTATTTCCGCCTCACTGCTATTCGGTGCTAGGTGCACGGGGCAGGCAGCGCGATGTTTGAGAAACAACTGCAGGGCGACAGAGTCAAACATGTTGGATTTGTTTTTAGACCAGTCTTCTCTTCCTGTCCACAGCGCACCACGTGATGTAACACATTCCTGCAGGTGGTTCATGAAGCTTAGCGAAGAAAGGAAGCACTTGGTTTGATGTAAGGTTTCAGTGATCCTGTCAGTCACATGAAGGTTTCCCAGAAACACTCACACACTGATTCCTTTGTGTCCTCACCCAAGAGAAACACATCTGCCCAGTCCTCTATTGAGAATCACTGACCTCAGAGTGCAGAGTTGGGCTCTTCATAATCAGGAGAACGGATTAATTTAACACGAGTTCACAGTGAATGAACAAGCAGATTGTAAGACTCCACATCAGCTGATACTCGAGGAAAGGAGTCACTGACAGAACGATGATTACTTCCTGCAAATAAGCGTCTCTTTTCTTAAAAACTGTCTCAATGGGGATTTTTTTTGCAACCTAACCCAGGAAGAGACGACGTGAGGAATTCATGAACCCCTGCAGAGAAGTGTACCTTTAATAAGTCCAAACCCTTTGGTCTACAGTCAGTGTTGGGCTAAAAATGAGCCAGGAAATAAAAACTCATTGTTTAAGATTTGAGTGTTTTAATGACCCAACAGCTGTCTTCAGTGTTAATTAATCTGCTGATTATTTTCTCATTTACTCGTTCTGCGTGAATTCCCAGACATGCACATATTGAGTTTTCTGTCACGCGAGACAAAGAAAAGCAGCTGATCTTCACAGTAGAGCAGCTCCACTTTAGCCCTGGTTTTCAGAGGTAATGGATTGGTCGCGATCGCACAGAAACAAACAGCATATGACCGACTGGGTTTTCCTGTTCTGAGGTCATCAGCAATGACGTCAGCCTCACACGCTGTCCCACGCTTTATCATCGTTGTCTTTGCCATCAGTGCCCAGTTGAGCTGATTCTCCAACGCCACAGCCGCTCTGATGAGGTAAGACCTCATGTACTTGTTGGCTTTGTTTTCATAGCTGGCACATCAAACTGTTAGTGTATTATTAATCCGACTCCGTTGTCTAATCTGCAATATAATAAATGAAGCTTTTACAAAAAAAAAAACTAACAATTCTTTTGTTCAGGCTTCTGTTCAGGTCCCAGATGTTCTGGTGTTCTATTCTGGACTGTGATGGGATAGAATGAACCTTTATTGTCCGCTGAGGAGCAGAATTGTCCTTGGCTCACTTAAAAAACTAGACTTTGTCACTATTCTCAGAATTTTGACAGTGGCTTACTTGTAAGAAAAAAAAATTAAAGCAAAAACAATAATAAAAATTTAAGTCTGAGCTTCAATTCTGGCTCCAAATGTTTTTTCTTTACTTTCTACTGTTGTAAACTGACTCTGTAGGTTTTTGACTGTTGTTCAGACAAAAAAGACATTTGGGATTTTTTTGTTTTCTGGTCACTTGTAAACCAAAGAAATAACTCCTCAGTTTTGTGACTTGATTTTACATGAAAACCATCTGGAGTCGTGACGCCGTCTGACCTGTGTATTTGTCCTCAGGTTCTCTGAAGGAGACATGTCAGATCAGCAACATCCTGAGGTGAGTTCAGAGCTCCTGACATCTGAACTGAACCAGCAGCCAAGGTTTTCTGCTTGCTCAGAAGCAGCTCCGTGTTGTGTCCGGCCACAGACGCTAAGGTTACTTATCACATATGTTTGGGTGACTTGTAGCAGAAACTGGCTGGAAGTCCTCACAGCTGCTGTTCCAGCCTCCTGGTGTGAAATTCACATGTGAACTTTAATTGATGAGTTAACTCATTAATTTTCCACTGCGTTTCCAGTCCAGGTCGTGCTGCATGAGGTTATGAGGAATGAGTGTTGGACACAGCTGGGACGTATATAAACACATGTAGACACAGTCATGCTCTCAGTGAGCAGAGACGCCAGAGCTGGTCCTGCTCTGCGCTCCTTTAAAATCCGTCTTTACGGAACTGAATCCTCTCTCTCTGAGTGCAGATCTTTGGAACTTAACTTTCTCTGTATGCATTTGCTCAGTTCAGCAAAGCCTGCATCTGAACTTCCACACCAGTGTTTAACTGGTGGAGCTGCACGCTGAGGGGAGAAGTCAAAGTGTGGGAGGAGAGAGGCTCATTTTGCTCCTCAAACCACGTTGATGTAAGGAGACATGCCTCTGCCCCTGTTTTTCAGACCAGCGCCGTGCTGAGAGTTTCGCACCTGCCTCTGGTTCGTTCTGCTTTACAGTCGGTGACATCAGTGTACTCAGAGGTCAAAGGGCGTTACCCTCTGCTGGGACTGATGGGAGGAGTGGCTGAGGTCAGAGCTCGCAGCATCTCCCAAGTGGCCATGAGACGAGCCACGCCCCTTCTCCAGAGCCTGGAGCCTCAGAGTACGCACAGAGAAATACTGCTGCTATAGCTGGTTACTTTTTGTACTGTGCCTGTACAGGTTGCACATGGGGTTGAAGCACAGTGGTACAGGTGGACCAGAGTGAAACTCCTGACGCCCTGTTTTCTGTCCACAGTTGAAGTTGCCAACAATTTGGCCCTCGTTGGTCTTGACCGTCTGGAGAGGAACTTCCCCATCCTGAACCAGTCAGCAGACGAGGTTGGTCCTCCCACACACTCAGATTACACCTGAAAACGGGAGTCGGCTGGCGAGCCCAAACCAGCTAGCATCCACTTCGGCTGCTTCCCTCCTTTTTCAAATAAGCGTCTCTTTTCTTAAAAACTGTCTCAATGGGGATTTTTTTTGCAACCTAACCCAGGAAGAGACGACGTGAGGAATTCATGAACCCCTGCAGAGAAGTGTACCTTTAATAAGTCCAAACCCTTTGGTCTACAGTCAGTGTTGGGCTAAAAATGAGCCAGGAAATAAAAACCCATTGTTTAAGATTTGAGTGTTTTAATGACCCAACAGCTGTCTTCAGTGTTAATTAATCTGCTGATTATTTTCTCATTTACTCGTTCTGCGTGAATTCCCAGACATGCACATATTGAGTTTTCTGTCACGCGAGACAAAGAAAAGCAGCTGATCTTCACAGTAGAGCAGCTCCACTTTAGCCCTGGTTTTCAGAGGTAATGGATTGGTCGCGATCGCACAGAAACAAACAGCATATGACCGACTGGGTTTTCCTGTTCTGAGGTCATCAGCAATGACGTCAGCCTCACACGCTGTCCCACGCTTTATCATCGTTGTCTTTGCCATCAGTGCCCAGTTGAGCTGATTCTCCAACGCCACAGCCGCTCTGATGAGGTAAGACCTCACGTACTTGTTGGCTTTGTTTTCATAGCTGGCACATCAAACTGTTAGTGTATTATTAATCCGACTCCGTTGTCTAATCTGCAATATAATAAATGAAGCTTTTACAAAAAAAAAAACTAACAATTCTTTTGTTCAGGCTTCTGTTCAGGTCCCAGATGTTCTGGTGTTCTATTCTGGACTGTGATGGGATAGAATGAACCTTTATTGTCCGCTGAGGAGCAGAATTGTCCTTGGCTCACTTAAAAAAACTGGACTTTGTCACTTTTCTCAGAATTTTGACAGTGGCTTGCTTGTAAGAAAAAAACAATTAAAGCAAAAACAATAATAAAAAACTAAGTCTGAGCTTCAATTCTGGCTCCAAATGTTTTTTCTTTACTTTCTACTGTTGTAAACTGACTCTGTAGGTTTTTGACTGTTGTTCAGACAAAAAAGACATTTGGGATTTTTTTGTTTTCTGGTCACTTGTAAACCAAAGAAATAACTCCTCAGTTTTGTGACTTGATTTTACATGAAAACCATCTGGAGTCGTGACGCCGTCTGACCTGTGTATTTGTCCTCAGGTTCTCTGAAGGAGACATGTCAGATCAGCAACATCCTGAGGTGAGTTCAGAGCTCCTGACATCTGAACTGAACCAGCAGCCGAGGTTTTCTGCTTGCTCAGAAGCAGCTCCGTGTTGTGTCCGGCCGCAGACGCTAAGGTTACTTATCACATATGTTTGGGTGACTTGTAGCAGAAACTGGCTGGAAGTCCTCACAGCTGCTGTTCCAGCCTCCTGGTGTGAAATTCACATGTGAACTTTAATTGATGAGTTAACTCATTAATTTTCCACTGCGTTTCCAGTCCAGGTCGTGTTGCATGAGGTTATGAGGAATGAGTGTTGGACACAGCTGGGACGTATATAAACACATGTAGACACAGTCATGCTCTCAGTGAGCAGAGACGCCAGAGCTGGTCCTGCTCTGCGCTCCTTTAAAATCCGTCTTTACGGAACTGAATCCTCTCTCTCTGAGTGCAGATCTTTGGAACTTAACTTTCTCTGTATGCATTTGCTCAGTTCAGCAAAGCCTGCATCTGAACTTCCACACCAGTGTTTAACTGGTGGAGCTGCACGCTGAGGGGAGAAGTCAAAGTGTGGGAGGAGAGAGGCTCATTTTGCTCCTCAAACCACATTGATGTAAGGAGACATGTTCTGCTGCCTCTGCCCCTGTTTTTCAGACCAGCGCCGTGCTGAGAGTTTCGCACCTGCCTCTGGTTCGTTCTGCTTTACAGTCGGTGACATCAGTGTACTCAGAGGTCAAAGGGCGTTACCCTCTGTTGGGACTGATGGGAGGAGTGGCTGAGGTCAGAGCTCGCAGCATCTCCCAAGTGGCCATGAGACGAGCCACGCCCCTTCTCCAGAGCCTGGAGCCTCAGAGTACGCACAGAGAAATACTGCTGCTATAGCTGGTTACTTTTTGTACTGTGCCTGTACAGGTTGCACATGGGGTTGAAGCACAGTGGTACAGGTGGACCAGAGTGAAACTCCTGACGCCCTGTTTTCTGTCCACAGTTGAAGTTGCCAACAATTTGGCCCTCGTTGGTCTTGACCGTCTGGAGAGGAACTTCCCCATCCTGAACCAGTCAGCAGACGAGGTTGGTCCTCCCACACACTCAGATTACACCTGAAAACGGGAGTCGGCTGGCGAGCCCAAACCAGCTAGCATCCACTTCGGCTGCTTCTCTCTTTGTTTGCCACCTCTGAGCTATGGTGGCCCCAGGGGACACAGTACATTTCACAGCTGGAAGCACAGACGTTAAAGAACAGTGCTGCATATTCAGCTGCATCAGTAGCTGTTGTTATCGACTGATCGTCCTCTGATTCCAGAAAACCACGTGACGTTCTGTGTGCAGCCTTGGGTGTAACAGAGAATGAAATAATGTCCTGATGCTGATGTTTGAGCTGCAGCAAACACACTCAGACAGCAGATGAATCCCAGTTTGACGAACTTCTGCCATGTTTCCCTCACTTGCGTCTTTTTCTTGTGTCTTAGTCCCGCCCGCGTAAGATGTGAGGAGAAGACACAAGGAGAGACTACAAGGGTCGAGGAACCATAAAATAAATGAATTGGGATTCATCTAGTCTTTCCTGTTTGGACAGATGTGACACTACAAGCCACTGTGTAGAGACGGCACACAAAGCCTCGTTTTGTTGTTGTTTGTTTATTTGTTGTTCCATTTTGTTGTTTGCTGTTGGTCAGCTGGTAAAGCCGCAGGTCAAAGTTCAGCCCAGTGAGAGAGTCCACTGGAACCACTTGAAACATAAACTCTGACCAGGTGGTGTCTCCTGCTCCTCAGGTGATGGGTCACCTGGTGGACGCCCTCTTCCTGACGCTGGACGACGTTCATGTGCGGGTGGTGGGCGGTCTGGATGGAGCTCTGGATTGGTTGGAGCGTCTGGCTGAGGCGGCTCGGGCAGGGGCGCAGTGGCTGCAGGACTCTGAGGGGGGCCAGGCAGCCGCATCTGTGCTGGGCCGTCTGGAGGACTCCACCGCCACCTACCTGCCCCTCCCACCCACAATGCGTGAGTACAGGGGAGTTCTGGGTAACTCCAGGAACATGAACTGTTGTTAGAGGATTCACGAAGTCAAAAAGATCAAATAATAATTAATTGGCTTGTGTGACCAGTTGTGAATGTTTACATGGATCAGGAACATTCCTCCAGTTTTCCCACAGGGATAAGTAGTGAAAGTGTGAGGAAACAGAGCCTGTGTTACGAACCGTGACAGGTCACAGTCAGGCACCAACATACTGCAACACGGCAGTGTCTCAGGATAACAACATATTTACCAGCACTAATTATGTAAATGAGCAGAGTTTATGTGAGTGCACCTACCTTTGTTAACTAGTGACTTAATGTTGTGTTTTTGTTGTTCTACCACTTTCCCTCCGATGAAAACGAGGAAAGGAAATAGCTGCAGTAGGAAAGTCACAGTATTGGTAAATAACTTAATAAAAATAAAGGTGCAATGTTTGGCTGCCTCTTAATGTAGTACAGTGTAAAGCCTTGCCACAGTCTGTGCTGATAATTACTTAAAACAAGTTAGACACATGATACATGTGTATATAGAAATGCCTTTACTACAACGTGCAGAGTTTGGTTATCATGCCACCAGATCATGCCGTACTACACCCCTCTGTTTCCATTTAAACCTACCGAACCACCTTACAACTGCTTTTGCTTTTCGTTACTCACCCATTTCCTTTCCCCCTCTTTTCTTAGTCCGTTTCCCCCTGTCCTTCGGCTGTGCCCAGTGCCTGAGCGCAGCGCCGACCTCCATAACCTCTCCCCAAAACCTTCCAGTACACAAGCATTTCATCACATTCATCGATAGTGAGGGCAGGTCTCTGCTCGTGAATTAACATGTCCCAACACTGCTGTCGTCGTCCCTCAGGTCAGGAGTGGGAGGTGAGGGTGCAGGGGTATGAGGAGGAGGATGAGGGTGACGAGCCCAGTGTGCGGACGAGGGCCCGCCGCCTCCTGCTGAGTCTCGGCCTGCAGCTTTATCACCGTCTGGTGAAGGTCAGAGAGCAGCTGCGGAGCGCCGCCATGAGGCTGCCAGACACCGCAGATAAGGTGAGGACAGTCCGTCTTCACTGCCTGAGCTTCAACAGCAAAGAGTAAAATAGTTTCTGCAGCCAGACTGAATGGTTGCGTCACAGTCCTGGTCCACCTGCACAGGTGTCTGATCCGAGTTGCCCTCAGCACCGTGTGGACACGTTCAGCTATTCTTCCCTCTCCGTTCAGTTTGGCTGCACCTTTTTCGAACTGAACATTCATGTGTGAAATGAGGAAACCTGCCCCCCAGTGCAGTGGTGGCTCACTGGGGGGTGGGGGTGGACAACAGTGGAGGTCAGTGGCTCAGACAGATAAGCTGAACCATGACTCACATCATGGTGAGGACACTACAGGAGGCAGCTGCACGTCATCCACATCTATACACAGTCTGGTTTGCACACTGCTCTGTCAGCTGTGACATCTGGGTCACTGTCCACTGAGGGTAAAATGCTCAGACTCTAAAATTGAGGACAATGATGATGTTTTTGTGTTTTTCACAAATGCATTTGAGCAATGTTCTTATAGTCTTCTTAATTTTGAGCTGACATGTTTACTTGGAAAGAGTATAGTTTCACATTTTGTGTTCCCTCACAAATTTGGTCTTAAATTCCACTGAAAGTGGTCTTAAAAAGTCTTAAATCTGAGTTGTGGATACCTGTAGACAGCCTGCATGAGTGCATGTCAGTGGGCAGTGGAGACTTCATGTCAGCAGGTCCTGCAGGTCTGGACAGGTTCCATCAGAGCAGAGAGTAATCAGACACTTGGCTGCTAAATTTTATCATTGTTACAGAAAACCCAGACACCCTCCACAGCACTAAACGTCACCACACATGTGAATCATACACTTTATGTGAGGAAACATTGCGTTGTCTACATGTGTTCCTACAGTTGGGTCTGCGCCGGGTCCTGGAGCTGGTGGGGGGCCTGCTGCAGTACCTGCGCAGCCTTCTGGTGGCACTGCTGTGCCAGGCCCAGAGTCTCAGAGAGCTGACCCTGAACCGGGTCAGAGGGCAGGCCGTCATGTTGGCAGAGCTGAGTCCAGTCCGTCAGGTCCGAGAGCTGCCGGTCCAGATCCAACAGTTGCTCCAAGGCCTGCAGGAACTGTCCAAGATCCTCCTGCAGCTGCTGATCAATGCCACACCGCTCTACAGCCTGGTGAGTACGGAGGGGAGGGGTCATCTGGAATGTACCTGAGACACCTTGGGGCTCCTGAACTACCTGCAAACAGTGCCTAACCTTTCAGTATGTGCACACTCCCAGGCTGGGGAGGCCGGTTTTCCCACCTCAGATTGGTTTCCCTTCCCACTTTTTTTTAGATTGTTTTTTTTTTTTTTTTTATTTCTGTGCGCCCCCCACGTCGTGTTATTTTTCTCACCCTAACCTGTCTGGTAGAGTGCGACAGTCGTCGATAATCGATCAGTCTTAGAGCGTCTAATCACTAGTTATATAGAAAAAGTATCACCGTAGATTAATACATATTTGGATGTGATCCCATTTGTCATCGCAGCCTTGCATCATTGAAAACGTCCTGGAAATTTATTTCTTGAAAGGAGTGGGAACCCTGGCAGAACATAGAAATGAGTTAATTCATTTTTAATGATGATTCTGACCATCTGACAATCTTCTTATTGGCACTACTGTCACTGATTGTACATGGTTTGTGTCATAGCCCATTAGGTTGTACCATTTACTTTTATCCTAATCACTTTGACTTATTTTCTTATTCTTTTTAGTCTATTTTTACTCTACTTTTATTCCATTTTAGTTTCCTAAATGGTATGGCATTCAATACTAAGTGAGAGAGAAGCTGTATTTCGATTTTCTGTATATCCTGCACATATAGTGAATTGACCATAAAAATCTTTGTGTTGGAGGTGCTGTGCTGATGGCGCCCTCACAGGCCTGGTTAGCCTTGAGCTTATATGCTGGGGGCGGTGCTTGTTTTTTACTGTCAAATCGCTGAGGTTTGCTTCTTCAGGACAGGAGGTCAGTTTCCACCCACCAGGCTTTATTTGAAAAGTGGATTTTCTCTCTTTGCTGAGGTGGAAATGTATCTGTATGGATAAAAGCAGAATGTGACAAAGTGAACAAGACGCGGTGAATATTTGAATATGTGTGTAGTGATGGGCAGTTTAGGAGCTCGGCCATGTTCATACCAGAGCTGGACACATGTCACTGACACACATGGATGTGAAGAAGCAACACAAAGATCAGATCTGACTGAGACAGAGCTGAACGTTGAGGCTGAGATGTGGACGCAGCCTAAACCCATTCTGAAAAAGGTCATTGTGTCTGTTTCAGATGAAAAGTACAGCACAACAAACAGCGCAGGGTCTGAATCCTTCCTGTCTGTGATCAAACAGGAGTCAAAACAATAAACTTGTACCCCTGGTGTTTCAGCTGCAGCAGCCGTCAGAGCAGGAGGTGGAGGAATTCCTGAACCAGGAGAACATCAAGTCCAACAGCTCGTCTCATCGCATCTTGGCTGACAGTCTGTCTTGTCCTCGGCGTCTCAGCTCCCAAGATGCCCAAGGCTCCGGGGGCCTTTGGGGCCCTGACTGCCGCTCTAGCCTGAAGGAGCCCCTGGCCCCAGAGACTGAAGGCTCACCCGTCCCTTCTAATGATGGTGTGCAGCATCAGTCCTTGGCCACTGAGGTGCTGCTCATGTCACTCAAACAGTTTGTTGCTCAGAGTCAGGCGGCCTTTGAATATATGAACCCCGAAACGACTGATCCCACGGCCGACTATTGAACGCCACACTGAGGGTTGACCTAGCCCTCATCCACCACCTGTCCCTACCACCTCCCCATGACCAATCACAGGCTCCTGTCATGGCCACAGGTGGTCAGACATCTCTGCCTGAGCTGGTGTTGGTGTATATACAGTACATGTGGTGACAGAAGCAATAGAAGATTAATGTAGATCAGTGAGAATTTGTAGGTTTCAACAGTGAGTAGAGGCAGGAAATGCTGTTAATATAGACATTGGCCAACCTTATCCTTGAAGTTACAGTGACACAAGTTAAAACATGTTGGTCCCTTCAAGTACTGGTTTTATTAAGAGTCAGGTTTCATCTCTGAGCTCCAGTGTTTTCAGACTGTCACAGAAAACAATGGAAACATGTGTGAATAAAGCTTCTTGGGCTCTGCAGTTTCAGCTCAGTGTGTTTGTGTTGGGGCTAAAGACAGGTGCAGGTTCTCTTTGTTCATTCAGGTTTTATTAAACACACACCCACCTCCATCTGACTGTCAACAGCCCGTTTGTTTTGAGGAGTTTCACTCTGTCTGTTACTGAACATGAAGTATAGATTCATTTACAGCAGCTGTTCACATATGCAACATCACAGACATCTTCAGTCAGAGGTAACGCTCTACTTGGTCATCTCAGACTCGGAAAACTAAACCGGAGCAAAGGAGCAGCACAACCTGCCCCTTGTCTCCATCTTAGAGGTCGAGTGGTGGAGCAAAGGAGCAGCACAACCATGTCAACCTTGTCTCCATCTTAGAGGTCGAGTGGTTTGAACATGACAAGCTCTGGCCAGTGACAGAAGCAGTCACAGCTCCGGCTCCTGTCTACTCTAGCAGCACAGGTCACCAGTTCAATAAGCCTGGCGTGTCCTCTTGTACACAACCGCTCCCATCACAGCGTCCCCTACCGGCCACAGAGCAGAGAACAGACAAGGTCTCTGGAAGCTAGTGAGATAATTTGCCCCAAAGTAACCACAGAAAGTGGGCGTTCATTTTCTACACGTTTGCAAAAATGCTCATGTGTGATGTTCACCCTCTAAATTTAGCCTGTTAGCATGTCAACATTAGCTCATTAGCTGAAAATCTTTGCTTTTAAGATCTAGATCAAAGATTTTTGTCAATTCACTATATGTGCAGGACATATAGAAAAAAATTACTTTTCTCTCTCACCTAATTCTTAAATGGTATGGGCATTCAGTAACTAAAATAGAATAAAAGTAGAACAAACAAAGAATAAGAAAACTAATTAAAAAAAACTAGATGGTACAACCTAATAGGCTATGAAGAAACTAAACCATGTGCAATCAGTGACAATATGCAAGTAATAAGAAGATTGTCAGGTGGTCGGCGTCACCAGGGGCGTTGATGATGAGATGCAGAATAGCTTATGAGATGCAGATGGACAGTAGTGCAAATGACCAACAGCAGCAGATAAGACATTAAAAAACAGTCAGCAGCAGATTTACATTTAACAAAAAAGGGGAATGTATTGAGTTTGTGAAAAACAACAGAGGTCGTCTTTTTATGTTCTGTGGTGGGTCACAGACCAGGGGCAGAGGGTGGGGGGTAATGGACAGCATTCAGCATCCTCACAGCCTGGTGGATGAAGCTGTTTGTAAGTCTGATGGAGTGGGCCTGAAGACTCTGATACCTTCTCCCTAAAGGCAGGAGTCTGAAGTGGGAGTGTGTGGGGTGGGAGGTGTCATCAGCAATGCTGATGGCTCTGCGGGTGAGGAGGGTGTTAAAGACATTGCAGTGGTTAAAAACAAACAAGGTACCAGTCCAGAGGTAATATGTAATAGAATAGTGTGTAGTTCATATATAGATATTATTTCTAATAGTTATGTAAGGATGAGCTAAGTGTTTATGTAAGCTTGATCTGTTTCTCTTCTCTTCTCTAGAATATCTTGGCTTGTGTCCTCCTTGTTTAATTTATGGGTAAACATCCAGAGAGCATTCCTCCTTAAATGGTTAATGGACATAGCTTCAGCCTTATGTGAACAGTTTGTGTGCTCTGTTCATGTTTAGAAAAAGGAAATGTGTGCTATGTCGGCGCGACCTAGAAGTTCATGTACTGGACATCTCAGACAATGCTTGGAAGAAGGGGTGTAGAGCTGGCATGGGACTGTGACTCTGGCTCAAGCCATAGAAGGCTGTCTAACTGTGAGAAGACTGAAGTTAGGACAGCTGTGGGTTAAAGAGAGAGAGGAGTGATGGTGGTGCAGTCGTGAGTGTGCATTTGGACCCAGCCGGGGGAACTCTGGACTCTGACTGTACCTTGTGGCTAACAATGACTGACTGACTCTCTGTTAGGTATTTTTAGTCAAATAGATATTGGATAGATACTTTATGTATTAGAAATGTTTAGTGGAGATAGGATGTCTAGTTAGACTGTTAAATGCTTAGGCCTGCTTATGAGTTTCTACAGGGTACATCTGGTCAAGGATAACTAGAGAGAAGAGTTGATGACTGTCAGCAGACAGGGTGTTTAATATTATTATTATGACATGTATAACTGTAGCTTTAGCCATAATAAGTTCTTATGTTTAATGTCACGACATGTTACTAGAGGTCGTGAGAATGTTTTTAGTTACACACCAGTTAACCAACAGACACACACACATTGATTTACTTCATGTTTTGACTACTGCTATGACCAGCTGCAAAGCTGGCAACAGAGACGTCTCGGTTGACGTTTCTGTGTAGTATGGGGCTAGCCCAACCGAGGGGATATAATGTATAGGCCTGGTGGGTTCAGGGTCTTTCATCTTACATCTGCCTGCGTGCAGTTTGGAGGTGCAAGATACTTGAGCGTGTAATGTTAATTTTACCTGTGATCCTTTGAATAAATCAGCACTGTTTTGAAGTTACTTGGACTGTCGCGTCTCTCAGAGTTAGCAATTATAACAAGAACCATATCCTGCTCTCCTTATTTAATACTTTATCTATTTCATTGCAGGAGGAGTGATTCTGTTCTCGTTTCCCTAACTACCAGGTTACCTACTACTCTGTTCAGAATAATATTAAATGGTTATGTAAACTGGGATGATCTGTCTGAACTGATTTAGTTTACATCAGATCCTAACTACCACAATCTCCATAAAGGAAGGCAGAGGCACCGTCGATGCACCATGGATGGTCAGTGGGGGATGCTTTAGAGGTTTTTTCCTAAAGTCCTAGTGTCGCTCAGAAAACACTTTTCTGTGTTTCCAGATTTGGCTGCTAATACTTTTGCGCTTAACATTATGAATGCAGGACTTTGACTTGTAACAAAGTGGTTGTACACTGTGGTATTACTAGTTTCTGTGTGCTCCCCGGTTTTACAGCGGTTTACTCACATTTTGCAGTGGAAACAGCCGTTTCTACAGTAACTAATGAATTCAGTGAAGTGAAAAATACAGTAACATTAGAACATGGTAATCTTCAGAGTACCTCAAACTGTACATCATGGAGTACTTGAGAAACAGTGGTACTGTAAACAGGTTTTCTCACCACACTTGCTGACACTGGGGGATCTCAGCAGCAGGATGTTTGCCTCCACTCGTGGCTGGTTCCTCCATCCCCTCCAACAAACTCTTCAACTCCACCACCATCTGGACTGTGGCTGTTGCAGGGGGTTTCTGGCTGGGTCTTTATCTAGTCCTCTGTGGGGGTGGGATCTGTGGTTGGTCAGTGTTGATGTGATCAGTGAGTGTGTGTGAATCCATCACGGTCTGAGGACTCTAATCCCAGCTGCTCTCAAGCCGTGCTCACAAGTCTGAGGGGTCGCGGGTCTCTGAGCCCAGCAGGACCTCGAGTGCACTATGTGGACCTCCAGAGTCTGCTTGAGCTGCAGACCGAACCAAGCTTCATTTAGAAACTGACCCACAACCACAATGATGCAGATGTGATGTTTAAGCCCAAGAAAACAGAGATACCATGTTCAGTTTGTTGCACCAGTTTATTGATGAGCAACATTTCACACTGCTCATTCAGGACAGAGACAAGCTGAATAATTTGCCCACTGACTTTTGCAGATAAGAAAGCCAAAAGGTCCTGAGGGGCCAGTTTAACGCCAACTGTGTGGCAGCTCGTGGGAAAGCACACCTCCCTGCAATACTGCCACAGCCACAACCGGTACTGTTAAAGGACCACTCAGAAAACCCACTGCCCATCAGGCTAAGCTTTTTAACCCAGGATAAATGAACTGATTACATAGTGAAATCTCTCTTTTACAAAGTAAATTCAGGCACAGAAAAATGTGCAAAAAGTGAAGGCATCTGAAATCTGCGTGAAGTCGCTGCATGATGCACAGTCCACGTTTCTGATTTATTTACTGGCCATGTCACAGCTGATCAGCCTGTAAACATTCGTGATGTCTCGCTCCTGATCAGCTGCAGATTCACAAATGTTTTTACTGCACATTATCCCCAGTGATTTTCTCTATCTCACTGTGCACAAACCCCGTCCAGACAACAGCAGCACCAGTGAATGTGGTGTCCTCACTGTAATGTGTGAGTCCATGAGCTTATTGCTCTGTGCTGTAGACCCCCCCCAAGGAAACATGGGAGGCCGTCTGTTTCTAACAAACAGCTCCACTGTGCAGTCACTGCATGGAACATCCACTGTAGATTCACTGTTTGTTTGAGTCTCAGGGTTGCATGTCTGGCACACGACATTTAAAGTCAGCAGCTTCAAGTCTCAGGGTTGCATGTTTGACACACGACATTTAAAGTCAGCAGCTTCACCTTCTAAAACTTTGGCAGGTCTTCATTAGAGGAAAAGGAAACTGTGAAGTCACCTGTGTTTATTCATTCATTCACAGTGAAATGACAGGTCAGGTGACGTCTCCTCCTGTTTCTGATATGAAAGACGACAGCTGAACAGGCGCAGGCCGTCTGGAGCCACTTTCCCCTCGTTCTCACTTCCCCATCTCGTCTTTCTTCATCCTCTTGGCTTCTGAAGTCCAGGTCAGGAACTCTCTCAGCCTCTTCCTGGTCTCCTTCAGTTTGGACCGAGTGCTGCTCGCTGTGTCTGGTCTCTGCAGCTGCTGTGGATCTGTGCAGTCCCCTCCTCTGTGTGGTGGTGTCAGCAGCGAAGAATGAAGCTTTGAACGCAACATTTTTACTGACCTGATCTGAAAACTCTCCCGCAGTTTGTTCAACACGTCGTCGTCCTGGGAAAATGAGGGAAGTGACAATTCAGAGAACCAATCAGAAACTTTCACCAACAAACAGTGATGAGGAATGACAGAGTTGTATGGGCTATTTCTGTACTGAAGAGAGTTTTGCAACACTGTAATGTAAACCAATTACTGATTAATTAGTATAATCAATAAGGGCTCCTGGCTCTCACAATGTGGCCACACTAGTGTTTGAAGGACCCAGGTGGGGGCTGGTGCAGCTTAGCTCAAGTTGCACTGGGACTAAACTCAGTGGTTTTGGTGCAGATGTGGACCAGAAATGTTCTGATGAGTATGCAGGGTTTAGGTACAGAGATCCCTGTCATACACTGGTTTCCAGTTCCAGGTACCTGTGAGAACGATGCCTGCCTGAGCACACTCCAGACATCAGAGATGAACTCTGCGGATGCCAGATAGGGAGGAGAGCGCTGCAGGGTCAGACGTTCTGAGATCACCTTCAGACGAGACCAGACATGTCTAGACTGAAAACGAGGACAAAGAATACATCTGATCAGATTATGGAAAGTTCTGTTGGAGCACCACTTGGTGGATCTACTACTGCTGCAAGCCCTGAGCTCAGCCAGTGAGCTGCTGACACACAGGTGGAATGCCACTGCACAACAAGCAGTCAGGTGATCAACTGACCTGAGACAGTCGACTGCAGCCTTCAATCTTCAGGTACAACAGCAGACTCTCACACCTCTGGCACACACAAAACACACAACAGTTCACACAAGCCAGCCAAGCAGAAGATAAACATGAGGGAGTATCTGGTGCAAAGACTGAATGGGTAGGAGTGGATTTTTCTGAATGTTACAAATGTGTGGACTCTGACCCTCTGCTCCAGCACACTGAGACAGGGACTAGGTGGTCTCTGGGGTCTCTCCGAGCTGTAGGGGTCCGATGGGTCCGACAGGTCCTGGCACAAGGAACAGACCCACTCTGACCTGGAAGACAAAGAGGAGGGATGGACAGGGCAGCAGATAAAGTTGGTCTGAGCTCCAAAGCTGTTTTTTTTTTTAATAAAACATCACTTCCGGTACATGTTTCAAATTAAAAGTCCAACATAAACAGAAAATGTCTCTACAATTTAACACAGTTTGCAATTAAACTCTGTATTCAAAAGAAAAGTGTTACTTGCCCTTGCACGTAAAGTCACAGGAGAAATTCTAAGAAAAATCTAATCCAACCTAAACCAGCTTTTCAGCTATAATAAATAATGATGACATTTTCCTGAGTGTCCCTGCTGGATTAGAAAGACTGTGAATGGCTACAACTGTGAGAGACACTGTGCCCCATAGGACAAAGATCAAAGTGTCAACATGCATTCAAAACAGCCTCGGGGTGCTGCTCTGACCATCAGAGCAGATGTGGGGACAGAGGCGTCTTAGCGAGCCTGATCTGAAAGAGCTCAAGTGAAAGTAAAGGCCTGTTTCTCTGTAGGGGAGCAGCACTAGAGCTGGGTATCGAACTTCCATACCTTTATGGCATTGATTGATTTACTTCAGTACCATCGAGTATCGAACAATGTCGAGTATTGAAAAATGCTTTTCTACATTTTTATTTGACATTAATGTTAACAGAGCTTCAGGCTGTGGTAAATACATTTACTTCTTATGTTATGAAACTGCTTTGAGTGCACAAAAATGCCAAGGAACAATGTGAAACTGATGAAGCATCTTGGATGAGAGGTGAAACGTCTTCGACCTAAAACCAAGTCCAGTTGATTTTTTTTCAGTTTACTATGACCTGGATGACTGAGAATCTGCACAGCCAAGGGACAAAAATAAAACCAGTGTAGCAAAATGTTTTTGGTTTTTTTTCCTGTTAAAATTATCAACAAAAAAAAAAAAATTGTCTAGGAACTGGTATCGAAGTCAAGGTGTCAATAACAGTAAATTCTGGAATAACCCCCAGCCCTAGTGACCTCTGACCTCCACTGTCTACAAAAAAGAAAAAATGACAGAAATTCTTACAGTGGGTTTGATGGGTTGAATCTGTTATGATCAATACTGACAATCATTATGCCGAACCCTCAAGTTTACTTAATGTTCATTATCATGCATTTCTGTCTCTTCTAACACAGATCGGACAGACGCCTGTCTGTTCCCCCAGAACATTTTGCAGGCACAGTGGACAGAGGTTTCAGGCGCACGCACCAGGCTGTTTGGTTTTTCATTTCCTGTGCAACACCAGACTTTTGGTTGGCAATTTTCACATTAAGGTCACATAAAAAAAAAAAGATTATTACTAAGTATTTACAATCAGCTGTCAGAGCTACCAATTACTTCACAATCAAAGAAGCTAAAACAAACAACCTAAAAAATAAAAAAGAAAATCCACATAATGAAATATCAAATAAAACTATTAATAATATAGCGATCTGAAACAAGCTTCTGATTCTTACCAGATGTCGGGTCCGATGGGGGGAACATGACAGGTTCGGTGGTACCCCCGACCGCAGGACAGGCAGATTATTGAAGCATTGGCAGATCCACAGGCAGAGCAGGAAACTATCTGCAGGGCCACAGGAGACTCCTGAGGTGACAGCAGCTCCCCACAGTCAGAGACATCACTAGCGTTGGACTGAAACATAGCAGAGCCACAGCAATCTCACCTGTATGCCTTCACCTTACCTGCTATATTTGTTAACCCTGACAGACAAACTCCTACCTGAGAGTCATTGCTCATCTCTTCCAGGTAGATCTCATCTTCATTGTCACCAGGGAGCACACGAAAGCTAGGGAGGGGACGTCCAGGTGGGGGCAGGGACAAAGGCAGTCTGAATAGAATCACTCTGGGCTGCCATTCGCTGAGACTGGAGTCCTGCTGTCCAGTCACAGAGCTCAGTTCTTCAGTGTCGCACTCTGTCATTTCACATTCAGGCAGTTTCCCTGTGAGTTGAGGTTCTTCACTCATGGTAGAGGTTGGCTCGTTCTCTGCAGGGTCCTGCTGCTTCGCCTCCACCTGTTGAACACCGTGATCACAGGCAGAGTCCGCCGCTGCCTTCACCACGTGACTGTGCCGGTCTTGCTTCACAGGGAACAACTGAGTCCTAATGTCATTGACGAGACCCTGCAAGGCGGACAAGGGCCCAGTGGGAACCACAGGACTTGAATAGTCGGCTGATGTTTGCTTGTGGTTCTGCAGCACCACGTGCCTCTGCCCTTCATAGGTACAGTTTCCTGCAGTAACCACAGGAGGTATCTCACAAGTGACAGAGGCTGGACTAGACTGTCCTGGGACAGCATTTTCCATCAGGCTGCTACATTTATGCTGTTGAGGGTAGGTGATCCTAGGTAAGGTGTAGGACACGACTGAACTGGGAAGCTGCAGGGCAAACTGTGGTACAACTGAGGTGAGAGTGAGGGGCAGGGACAGCTGGTACACAGTCTGGGTATTGGTCACCAGTACCTGGGAAGGCAGAGACTGTGGGACAACACTGAGGACAGCATAGGACGTAGATGGACCAGCTAACAGGGGGGTACTAGGTATGGCCGGCTGCAGGGTCAGTGAGGTAGAAACTGGCTTGGAAGGCTTTATCTGCAGCAACATCTGGTCTTGCTTCATCTTCATGTGAGATAATGTCTTCAGAGCCAAGGAACACGGAGACGTGCCAGGCTGGGAGGAGGCGAGTCTACTGGTCATGGTAACAGGAACACTGGTCACGAGGACCTGGGAAGGCAGAGACTGTGGGACAACACTGAGGACAGCACAGGACGTAGATGGATCAGCTAACAGGGGGGGACTAGGTTTGGCCGGCTGCAGGGTCAGTGAGGTAGAAACTGGCTTGGAAGGCTTTATCTGCAGCAACATCTGGTCTTGCTTCATCTTCATGTGAGATAATGTCTTCAGAGCCAAGGAAGACGGAGACGTGTTAGGCTGCGGGGAGGTGAGTCTACTGGCCGTGGTAACAGGAACACTGGTCACAAGAACCTGGGAAGGCAGAGACTGTGGGACAACACTGAGGACAGCACAGGATGCAGATGGATCAGCTAACAGGGGGGGGCTAGGTATGGCCGGCTGCGGGGTCAGTGAGGTAGAAACTGGCTTGGAAGGCTTTATCTGCAGCAACATCTGGTCTTGCTTCATCTTCATGTGAGATAAAGTCTTCAGAGCCAAGGAGGACGGAGACGTGCCAGGCTGCGAAGAGGCGAGTCTACTGGTCGCGGTAACAGGAACACTGGGTTGGTTTAGCTCCCGGCAGGAAGAGGCAGGAAGGCTCAACTGAGTGCAATTACGTGTATAGTAGGTGGGGGTGGAAAGGGTGGCAGAGGAGGGGCAAGAGGAAGAGGTGGAGCACAGTGAAGAAGAGGATGGAAGAGGCACCTGATGGGACGAGGACTTCAGTGATACAGAGACAGGATTCTCTGCAACAGCTGAATCAGAGTCAGTGGAGGTCCCAGTTTGGGGGAGGGGCTTCCAGACGGATGCTGGGTTGGCAGAAGTAGTGGTGGAGGATGAGGAGGCAGTGGCTGGAGTTTCTGTGTCCTGACTGGAGGTTGCTGACACACTGAAGGGGATCCATAAAACTTCTAGTTCACCTGGAAAGCAAAACAAGGAAGTGTCAGCCACTGATACAACCAATCAGCTGCCACCTTAGTTTGTCATCATTACATCAGGATATTCAGAGCCAATCAAAAAGTAGCATGTGATGCTGTCCGAGTCCGCTTAGACAGACACACCAGAGCAACAGACTGACTGCTGCTTAAAATGCGGATGACTTTATGATGAGAATATGACACCAGGTCTGTGCACATGACAGGATGAGTCAGACGCCAGGACAAGAAGGACCCCTTCACATAAGCCATTCCAGATGGACAAGGAGGGTTCCTATAGAAGACCCTGCATATACATGTGGTTACATACTATAAATCTACTCTGTGCAATAGTTTTGTCCCCCATCTGGTGTTTGATGTGAGTGTAGGCATTGTACTGCTGCACAAAGGAGCAGGTGCACAGTTGTTCCTAAAGCTCCTTTCAGACATGGTCCCTGGGAATGTGCGGGATACATGCAGCCATGCAGCAGTTGCTTTTTAGGCGTTCAGACAGAACTGCTGTGTGTAAAATTCCTGGCAAGGCTTTGTTCAAACATAGCAGGACCTAGCCGGGCACAGCCACAGGATTCATGCAAGGCAGACACACTGTCCTGTGCATGGAGGGTGAGCAGTCCTTTGATTTCCATGTCAACCCAATTTCCAGCCATTTTGAATTAGCTCATTAGCTGCTAAACTGTACCTTCTCTCTACCTGTTCAAAATAAACATTATACTAGCTAGTGATGAAACGTTCTTTTCATCTCTATGCCCAAATTTCACTGCCTGCCTGAAATATATGCCACAGAGCGAGAGGCGGTGATCAAGCTAGGCAGAGAGTGAATGAAGAGAAGGAGCAGCATTGAGGAGAACACAGCAATGAAACAGAGAAATGTTACTTACCAGCAACTGGACCACTACAATTCAGACGTGTGTCCACAGCCTATTTGACTAAGTCCAACCAGGTTACACTGCCACCAACAGTGACGCCTATGTGATGAGCAAATCTCTGGCTAGTGGTGGAGGTCTGAAAGGGGCTTAAGTGTTCAACTTACCCAAGTTAAAAATGGTCTCCAGGGCTTGTTTGTCAGTGACAACCCTCATCTTAGCCATGGTTTGAGGTGGGGACAGGTCCTGTTCTGGTAGATCCTTCAACTGAGAGTCAATCTGAGAAAAGGGACAACAGATCCAGCAGGTTCTGTCTCTGCTCTGTTCAGTAGCATCAGTTCAAAGCACAGAAACAGGAGTCTGAGGCTGGGTGCAGCCCAACACAACCAGCAGGTGAACACAGTGTGCTGCCTGGCAGGACAGTCTCAAAACCCTAACTTAACTTATGAGTACCATACAGGCAGGTGTAGTAGTATGGTACTACCTATGATGTTCATGTGATGCAGTTTCATGCAAGAAGCCTTTGCTCTTCGTCTACACATTCAATCCGTTTTGGATTCATGTGGTGCTCCCTATGCTGTTTGTTCTGCCTGGACTAAAAGTAAGCCTGTTTTCCTTGTGTAAACAGTTTAGCATTAGCACCCAGCCTGTGTCTGCATTAGGCTTCTCTCTCTCCCTGTCTGCTTGTTCAAACACAATCCTGGACAGGTTTTTCCACTAACATGGACAAACACCTAGATTGGATTTATCAAACAGCTCCAAATGCAGTTTTGGCCTTGAGTGAAAAGTAAAAATCCTCCCCTTTACCAACAGACTATCAAACATCTTACCAGTGCTGTGTAAACAAGCAGGCTCGGCAGGTCACTAATGTTTCTGGCTTTCTCAGCAGTTTCATTCACCAACTGTTGAACCTGTTGCAGCTGCTTCAGCTTCGCCATCCTCTTCTGAATCCCCTCACGCTCTGTCTCGTTCACTTTCTGCTCAGAACAAACAGATTCACATACAGCAGCTCAGATACATGGCGAATGAAAGTGAATCATCATCAGCCATCCTGAGTCAATATGTAAACGATAACCCTGTAAATGTATGTACCCAACAATGTGAGCTTAAAAGTGAAAACCATTTAGCTTCCAGGGGTGCAAAGCACACAAGTCGTCATTTCTACCTCTCACTTAGCTCTTGTGTTATTTAACTTCTGCTACGCTCCTGAGTGAGACCTGCAAACATCTGTAGCTCAGAGTTTCCTCTGCCCTGAGCTCAGGACCCAAGCCTGTGTAACATCTGGGGCACAGCTTGAGAGGCTCTTTCTTGTATGCATGTTCACCCGCACATAGGGAGCAGTGGCTGTCCAAACACACTGAGGAGCCTACAGACACACTTTGGAAAAAGGGAAAACTGTGGTCCAAAACTCTAGCAAATAAGAGACAGTGAGGGAATTACTGGCTACTCTTGCATGTGCATCTGCCATGTATCCAACCCACAGGAAAATGGCAAATAAAAACTACACAAGCACATGTTAAAAGGAACTGCATGTTAGTAAGGTAGGTAGGTAGGTACTTTATTGATCGATCAATGGGGAAATTTCAGTGTTTCAGCAGCAATGGAGAACAAACATAACACCATGAGAAACAATCACACAATAGAGCAACAGAGAACAGACAGCATAACACCATGAGAACAAACACCACACACACATCCTGATAAATTCCAACTCAAAAATATACAGAATCAAGTATTTAAATAATCAAGAACAGAATTTACATATGTGGATATTAACCATGCATTTTACCCCAGGATTTGAGTATTGCACCTCAGTAGATTATCACATACTCCCTCATAATTTCACCTATCTTATCCCTGCAGTGATGCATTGTACAGTTTGATGGCTGTGGGGAGGAATGACCTGTGGTAACGCTCCTTCTTTCACTGGGGATGTAACAGGCTCGTGCTAAAAGAACTGTTCAGAGCCACCACTGTGTGGTGCAGGGGATGGGAGGGGTTATGCATGATGGATGTTAGTTTTACCAGCATCCTTCTAGTATCATAAAAAGTCAGAAGGAGTGCCCCCCGCACACCAAAGGACCTCAGTCTCCTCAACAAGTGGAGGCAGCTCTGGCCCTTCTTTTACAGGGCATCAGTGTTTTTAGTCCAATGTTCAGTAGGACTGATGGAACAGGACAGACTTGGCTCTGCTGAAAAGTTAAGATGTTGACAGGAAATGACATCTCTCTCGCTGCTGCCGAAGAGCAGAGTGCCGCCAGTGGCCAGGTATGACCGACCATTCACACAGGTTACCGCACTTTGCAAAAGTAGTAGAATTTGAGAGTAGTTTAACCAACCACTGGCAGCGCTGGGCTCGACCTTTGGCAGCAGTGAAACAAACACCATTTCCCGTCACCATCTTACCTTTTCAGTAAAGCCAAGCCTATCCTCCAAAGAAGTGACAAAATTTAATTGTCCTGGGCAGGACCAGGTGATTTCTGATTTCATTTCAGAAGAGTTTATGAAGAAGTGGGAAATACCTTCAGATTTTGGGTGAGTGCTATGAAACAAGCTTCAATTTTGAATGCTCATGGTGGATCAGCTCTGTGAGTCATGCATGTAATACTTGAGTCACAGAGCTGGGACTAGGTATCGCTCAGCTCATGTGCTGCAGCAGCACTGTATACTTGCCAATGGCAGTCAAAATGTGTTGGGACTCTATCTCAGCATCTGCTTTCAGATTTTGTTGGCCCTATGTTTTCAGCTTTGACTTTGTGTTTGAGGAGAAATTCTGCCATTTATTAGCAGGTTTTTCCATGTGACACCAAGAAGCCTCTACGATCTAGGCTGGGTCCACAGCTGAATATGTGTAAGAGAAGACACACTTGATGTGTAAAGGAAGTTACCTGGATAACTTTGATCAGCTGTTCCATCCTTCCTCTCAGGAGTTCTAGAAAAATGGTGTATGAATGCTTCATCTCAGACTTCATCAGAGACTCACACTCAGCAATGTCCCGCAGCCTGAAACACAACACCACACCAGGTGGGTCTCAGTCTCACGCACAGTGAATGGCAGCTGTCACTGACCATCACTTCTGACCCCATAATGGGTCAGTACACTGCAAGGCTCCTGTCCCCCCGCCCACTGGTGGAACACAAACTTTGCTGGGAATGGACACCCCCTGCAGTTCATCTGCCCGCCCCATTTTACTGTACGACTGTCCTGCTTCTAATCTCCGAGGATATTCCTACTGTTCTGCCTGGATCAGACATTTTGTTACCACAGCCAATATTGCTTATACATGGTTTATAAAATTTTCTTAAAGCAAAAATTGAAGGTGATGTGACTGCATATGTATTGATAAGTAAGCATAAACTTTATTGTATTTAAAAAAAAAAAAAAATACAAGGAATTTACCTTTAAGGGGCCTGCCAGTAACGGGCTTCCTCAGTCTAGAAAGAACTTATACCACTAGAACTTATACTAAAGTCATTAAGAAGGCTGAGTCTGTGACTGGAGCAAAGCTGGTCACACTGGGAGAGGGGGAGGATGACAAAATGCAGGTGATTCTGAAGCCCACCGCCCACCCTCTGTACTGTATGTGAACACCTTACTTGTATGCAGAAGTGTTACAGGCGATGCATCCTACAATGTACAGATAGACCCTATAACAAACTATACTTGCATTAGACTTGTCTAAAATGCTCTATAAGCTTCAAAAGATGCAGCTCTGCTTTGCAATGTGAAACACAGTCCATGGTCTCTGCAGTAATTACCTGCCAGCAGTAAAGTGCTTTATTTGGTCCTCGGTCGTATCCTTTTCCTCTGAGCCCCTCACTGTGCCAAAGGTCCAAACTTGTACTAGGATCTAAGCCTGGTAGATTTGGGAGTCCCAGCCCTTAATGTGCGTCTCCACCTTTAAGGGGCCTGCCAGTAACGGGCTTCCTCAGTCTAGAAAGAACTTATACCACTAGAACTTATACTAAAGTCATTAAGAAGGCTGAGTCTGTGACTGGAGCAAAGCTGGTCACACTGGGAGAGGGGGAGGATGACAAAATGCAGGTGATTCTGAAGCCCACCGCCCACCCTCTGTACAGTATGTGAACACCCTAGTTGTATGCAGAAGTGTTACAGGCGATGCATCCTACAATGTACAGATAGACCCTATAACAAACCTTCAGGAGAAACCTCCTAAATTCTCTTCATGAACAGCCCCGGGACTGACATAGGCAGTGTCTTATCTTTAATGTCGTGAATATATCTTTCAGACTAGTTGCTTTTGTTTGGATCCTCTTTAGAACATCGGCTTGTTGATTAGCACAGTTTACAACTAGATTAAAGGTCAGCGGAGGAACGCACGCTAAACTTTTCCCCTAAGCCACATCTGTCAAGCTTTAGCTTGAGAGTTTCCCCACCCTGACAGTCACGTCCGGTAATTCTGTATGTGTGTGCTACTGTGCACAAACCCCACCCAGAGACCAGCAGCACCAGATGAATGTGGTGTCCTCACTGTAATGTGAGTCTAGACCCTGGTTCAGCTTATCGCTCTGAGCCGTAGACCTCCACTGTCCACCAGCTATTAAACCCCCCCAGTGAACCACATCGCCACACTTGGGGGCAGGTTTCCAACTCAGGAAACATGAGGTCGTCTGTTTCCAGCAACCAGCTCCACAGGTTGAGAACAGTGTCACTGTGGACAGAGCCACTGATCGAGCTCTGGTTAAACTGCTCCACCAGGCTCTCACACCGCATAGATTGCGTTTTGGAGATCTGAGTGCACCACCTTCATTGTTGCCATTAGTTACTGGATGGGATGTGTGCAAAGCAAATGAACTTATCCAAGTACACAACATACAGATAAGTTATGAGCACACTGTCTACCTGTGATTCATGTGAGTCATGAGCTGACAGTCTCTACAGGTGAGCTTGTTACAGGTGAAACAGAACAGTTTGAGCGGTTCTGTTGGGTGCTGTCTGCAGAACTTGGTGGGGGGAGTTAAGATGCTTCCTGAAGAGAAAAACAGACACATCAGTAACACTGCAACAGCACAGTCACAAGAAAACAAAGAGAGATCGGGGAGTGTTCTTCGTACGTAGATCAACAGGTTAGCCCGATGATTTTGTTGCCAATTTCACATTATCCTGGATCTGGACTGTTAGCTGCCCAGAACTCCTCCATGACTGTTTGACATAACTACTGGTGGCTGGAAAACCTCTTCTTCTAACCTTGGCTAGGTGGAAGGTGGGGCTAATTTACAGGGGGGGTAAGCTGAAAGAGACCATGTCCCGTGCCACTGTCACTGGGGTTATCTGACAGTGGGGAAACATTAGTAATACACCTTTAAAAAAAAAAAAGTTAAATGTGAAGGAACCTGTTGAGTAGAGTTATCTGACCTGCAGGCGGCTGGTTAAGGAGTTTGTGAAATCTGGTGACTGAGACTCTACGATGAGCTGAAACACAGACGGCACACAGAGCTTCACGGCAGTCCACACACCAACAGCTGAAGGAGGCGGCATTGCAGGTGCCACACTGGGGGGGTTTAATAAAGGATGAGATAGATGAGACATTTTTAAAACTTTAGTGACCAGCTGATGAGCTTAGAGCAGAAAAGACAGGCATCTTTCTATAGGTCCTATACACTGAAACACCTCACAGTGATGAAAGACAAATAAGTGTGCATGAAGGTTTTCCTCAGGTACAACCCAGCCCAAGACCCCTGGAGGTCCCATACTAGAGCCTGCATTACCTGTTGGCTGCTTTCTGGACTTCCTGTTGTGTCCATGTTAAGGTTGGAACTCATGGCCTTAAAGCCAAGGGGCAGAAGATGTTAATCCTATCAAACACCAGTCACACACACACTGTACATGTGCAACATTCCTGCAAAATGCAAAGAGAAAGAACTGTGAACCAGACATCACTCATATGATGCAAGAAAGTAATAAAGTGCCACCTCTGTCAAACTGAGGTGTGAAGTTGGGAGTTATGACATCACTTATGGCTTCTGGCCACGCCCACTTTGACAGAAAGTTAGCCACCATAATTTCTGATTTCTGATCATATCGAAGGATATGATTAGGGGTGACTCTAAAAAACTGGCCATTATCTGAAAGGGCATTCGGCGTAAAACTTGCCAAGTTTAATGTGGTAGGAACTGATGATGAACTGCTGGTCTTCCTAAGATTAGTTTAGAGAGAAACATTAATCCTTACATCTATAAAATATTTAGAGAGCAACAAACTAAGTGTGAGAGCTGCTGCTCTGTCCTAGTGCCAGGGAAAGCCCAATAAAATCCCTTTCATTCAATAACCCTAGTCCTAGTCCTACTGGAAACCCCATTAAAAATCCTTCACTGCTGTTATAAAGCCATAAGCCGCCCCTGGTAGGCTAGTGGTTAAGGGCCCGGGTTCGAGTCGGGGTCGCATTCAGGAAGGCCATCCGGTGTAAAACACGTACCAAATGTCAACATGCGAGTCGTTAGTGTGAGGATTTGCTGTGTCGACCCCTAAACGGGAAAAGCCGAAAGTAACTTTCTTTTGCTGTTATAAAGCCATAACATAGGACCGAGACGGTTCTGTCAATCAGAAACTCTGTTCTGTTCCCATGAGAAAGAATGGGAATGGGCCTTTAATTGTCGACATAAAACGACAAACCTCTGGAAAAGAAGATGTGGGGGCAGTGGGTGACGAGAGCTGCAGTGTTAGACTCTCCTACACTGAATCAAATACCGTCTTAAGTGTACATTGTAAGCCATTTGTACTTTATTTTCCTAATGCCCATACTTTTTTCTTTTCATGTTCTCTGTCTTACCTTGTCTACTTGTTGCTTTACAGAATAATGTTAGGTATTTTTTTTAGTCAGATAGATATTGGTTAGATACTTGTTGTATTAGAAATGTTTAGTGGAGACAGGATGTCTAGCTCAGGTTGTTAAATGCTTAGTCATTCTCATGAGTTTTATGCAGGGTGCATTATGGTCAAGGATAAATAGAAAAGTTTGATTGTCAGCAGGCAGGATGATTATTGTTATTATTATGATATGTTTAACCGTAATTGTAATCATAATATTTTCTTATGTTTAATGTCATGACATGTCACTAGATGTCATGTCAGAATGTTTTTAGATACACACCACTTAATCAACACTCACACACATTGATTCTCTCCATGTTTTGACTATTGTTATGGTCAGTTGTAAAGCTGGCATATCAGGTGACGCCACGGTTTGACGTTGCCGTGTAGAATGGGGTTAGCCCAACCGAAGTGATAAATGTATAGGCCTATTGTGGTTCAGGGTCTTTCTTTCTTCGTCTGCCTGCTCACAGTATTGAAGGTAGAAGATACCTGGACGTGTAATGTTAATTTTACCTGTGATCCTTTGAATAAACCAGCACGATTTTTTATATCCAAGTGGACTGCCTCGTCTCTCTGAGTTCCTGGTTAAAAGAACTGGAAAATAGCTTTCAATAACATTGCACATTTAAACTGAGAGCCACTGTAAAGTCGGACTCCTCGTGTCAAACACCCCTGTACAATAAAGCTGATTCTGATTTATATGAAGGAGGGTGGCCGACAGGAACCTCCATGCCGGGTCGGTACATTCTATACAGAACGGTAGGCGTTCCGGAAAACTGGCGCAAAAATCCCGGGTTCAATGGACAGTATAAACCGTGCTACAGATGTTCAACGCATTAATAACAATCCAGAGTTGCCAAAAATTACCTTAACTTGTACGATAGCCAACCATTTGAGAGCTTATCTAAATGAGATCACCAGTTAAATACAAGTCGTCGGGTTGTAACTTGGGTATTTACGTGAACAATAGCCTAAATCCCAAAGTAATTTATTAACAATACCAAGCTGAGTTAGCGTCCGTGGTTGTTGACGCTACTGGTTATATGAGGATAAAAAACGGTAATAGATAGTTAGTTAGTTATAGGCTACGGCTTTTGTTCTTCATATAATGCTGACACTAGTGTGATGCAGCAGTTCTCTTATATTAAAACCATCGTTTTAAATGCTACGGGAAAAACGGTGCGCCTTCTTTCGACCACTGATTAAGCGCATGTTAGGTTAACGTTACCAGTTGGTACTTGAACTTACCGTTAACGTTACACCCGCTCCAGAGAAACGTGAATAAGATAAAAACAATTATTAAAAGTCTTCGTTAAAGATAAGACCACGTTTTACGGCTTCCCGTTTAAACTGCCACTGATTAAATCTAATGTTAATAAAAAAAACTTGAACGATGGAAACAACTGAACTGTCTTCTTCTACTTACTTTTCTTCCTTTTTCATTAAATGGCGGTCTACAGACGAACTTAAAAGGTGTATGCTGCCACCTACTGCTGTGGAGGGTGTGACATGATGAGTGGATTATATTCTACACACAAACCCTGTCTCCTTTAGATAGAGTATTTACACCGATCAGGCATAACATTATGACCACTGACAGGTGAAGTGAACACTGGTCTCTATGAAGAGAAGGAGTCAGTGCTGTAGTGGTGATATCACACCTAGAGTGGTGAGGCTGTTGAATTGGTCTAAAAAATTCTCTCTAACTTGTCCTCACGACCACAGTTTTCATTCCTTTTGCATATGTTTTTCACTGAATTGTAGACACATCTATGCTCTTCCTAACAGTAGAACTGTGGAAGCAAATGGATCCACAGAAAATGCACAGTGAGTTGCAGAGTAACACGAGTGCCAACCAACTGCCACATTGACTCCTATGTAAACAGTGGTCATAATGTTATCTGATTGGTGTAAATATTTTCTTCTGTACCAATGCTTGACCGACGGAACCTTTGAAGTGGAGGAAATTCTCGTAGGGCCACTACAACGAGCATGAGGTAGAATCAGAATCAACTTTATTGGCCAGGTGTGTTGGACACACAAGGAATTTGACTCTGGTACAGCGGTTCTCATTGTGTACATACATATCAACAAGCAAGGGAATGTGCATTAGAAAAAAGAAAAAAAAAAGTAAATACTTCCCCCACTCGCCCCCCACTTTGGAACAGTCTTTTTATTCCTCCCTTCAAGCTCGGGTCCTCTACCAGAGGCCTGGGAGCTTGAGGGTCCTGCGCAGTATCTTAGCTGTTCCTAGGACTGCACTCTTCTGGACAGAGATCTCAGATGTTGTTCCTGGGATCTGTTGGAGCCACTCTCCCAGTCTGGGGGTCACAGCCCCCAATGTTCCTTTTACCATGGGGACCACTTGTGCCTTCACCTTCCACATCTTTTCTAACTCTTCTTTCAGCCCTGTAACATTTGAGTCATATGAACTTAAGTTTTTTTTCCTATTTTTTAATTCCACACTTATATGTATTACTATTGCATTGAGGACTGTTAAAACTGCTTGGTATTTACTGTTCGTTTGTTAGGGTTTTTATAGACAGGATGTCTGTACTTTGAAGATGACCAGATGTTTGTGTTTTTGATAAGATACCACCTGAGTTACAACACTCCACACACCATTTGATTAGCATATTTACTAAGCTGACGTGAGCAGAGGTTGGCCTGCTCACGCCAATGGCCAATAGCATTAGGATACGTGTAAGTCCAACCTCTGTCCGGGGCGATTCCCACCCACGAAGATAAATGGAACTACAGACAATAGTCTGGCACTCTTTGATGACGAGGTTCCTGCGGAAGTTCTGTCACTCTGAACCCAGCCCTGTATTGCTTTACCTGTGACTAGACTGAGAATACATTTCTACTGATTTTATACAGTCCTCTTCTGTTTTCTGTTCTTGGGCTTTCAGTTAAAGAACTGAGTCTAACAGCCCTTGGTATTTTTCGAGCTTCTCGTGTTCCTTCTCCCTGATGCTGCTATCGCTTGGGATTGCTACATCTATCACTACGGCCTTCTTCTGTTTGTCCACCACTACTATGTCCGTTTGGTTTGCCATTACCAGTTTGTCAGTTTGTATCTGGAAGTCCCACAGGATCTTAACTTGGTCATTCTCAACCACCTTTGGAGGTGTATCCCATTTTGACTTTGGGACTTCCAGCCTGTACTCAGCACAGATGTTTCTGTACACTATGCCAGCCATGTGGTTATGGCGTTCCATGTATGCCCTGCCTGCTAGCATCTTGCACCTCGCTGTTATGTGCTGGATTGTCTCAGGGGCATCTTTGCACAGCCTGCACCTGGGGTCCTGTCTGGTATGGTAGACCCCTGTCTCTATTGATCTTGTACTTAGAGCTTGTTCTTGTGCTGCCAGGATTAGTGCCTCTGTGCTGTCTTTCAGTCCAGCTTTGTCCAGCCACTGGTAGGATTTTTCGATTTCAGCCACTTCTCCTATCTGACGGTGGTACATACCGTGCAGGAGGGGTCAGACACATTAACATCACCAAGACAAACAGATGTCTCAGGAAGACTGTAACAACCCATGAGCAACGCCTGACAGCCTCCACCCAGCAACTTCTGCTAAACCTACTCTACCTAATGCCTGGAGTACAGTCTGATGATAACACAGCCATGTGTTTCTGTGATAACCAAATATTGGATCTAACTGAAAAACACAAAACCAACTTTCTGATAATCCTCTTTTAAAATCAATGTTTACAAACTTGTTGTAGCACCTGTATGATATGTACTTTACATTGTAGATGTTTGTCTTGGTGATGTTAATGTGTCTTACCCCTCCTCTCTCTGTCCCCCTCACACAGCGGAGGGCCTGCTGTCTCCTTTCTATTTTCTCCTCTGCTTGTCTCTGCAGTTGCTGCCTGTCTGTCAGGTGGTCAGCAGAGGGTCAGCAGCAGAAAAACTGTTCACCACTCACCAACTAGTTCGCCATGAAGTTACAGCTAGCAGCACTGGACATCTTGTTCCTGTTCATATTGCTCTCCTGTGGTGAGTCACCGTTGCTTCTTTCATTATTGACCTGAGAGGCTGAACTTTAGATTTAAAGTTTTTTGGTAGTGAAGCTTTGACTTGGCTCACAAGCTGACCAATGTGAGTTTGAAGGCCCTCATATCAGATACAAATGGATATTCCTATCTCCTCAGTTACCAGGGCTGAAAATCAGCTCATACAGCACATGGGACACTGAAAGGTTGTGTTTGCAGCTATGAGCTGTCATTAGTCCATTAGGCAACCATTTTGACAATAGCTATATAGTTTTATGACCCTTTTAACAGCCAAAATGCCAGGAAATCACTGGTTTCAGCTTCTCCCTTGTATTTGATGGGTTTCTCAGCCTTTTGTAGTAACTGAACAAAAGAGGAAATAGACCCGCCCAGGCTTTAGGAACTTCCGCTAGGCATTTTTATTTTCTGGCACATTATAGATAAAACAAGTCCCAGATTAACTGTGAAATGAACCAGCAGATTCATCGATAATGAAAATAATGGTCAGAATAAGAAGGGCAAGAAAAAATAAAATTACAAGACAAGATGAGAACATTGAGTTTATATGTTATTTAGGTTTTATCTGATAAAGTGAGTGTATCTGCCCATAAATGCCAACATGGCTGTGTGTTGGATGTGGGACTGTGTGAAGTGACGTGCAGCTATGCAGCAGCAGTAGGGGTGGTGGTGTGAGCCACACAGCAGCTGCCACGACCCCCTGAAATGTGAGCAGCATGATGGCATTCATTCCCACACCCTCTGTCACTGTTTGTTTTCCTGTAAATGCCAAAGAACACTGAAAGGTTCGAGAGCCAGAACTTAACATCCATCACCCAGCTCACCTCAGATACACCACCAGCAGCCTTTATGCCCCCAAGGCCCTCACCCCTGATCGTCTGTGAAAAAGACAACCATCACCATGAAGACACAGCAGAGGATGTACAGTACTTCCGACAGTGAAACAACATTATTGATTGGATGATCAGGGACCACCTGCAATGCCTTCATGAACCACAAGGGGGCCAGGGGCCACTGCTTGAAACCCTTGTTTTATACATATCCATCATACTTTTATCCACAGCATAGTGGTGCTGAGCTCCTCTGTCTCTCAGTCTTCTTTCAGTGTGTCCACGGGTGCCTCAGGCCTACAGACAGCACAGGCAGCTGCAGCTCACTGAGACCATACCTGGAATGGTCGTCTTATGACGAATATTTTCAATTGACACAATGAGTGAAAGTCACTAAAGCACAGTGACCTTTAGATACATCACACACTGAATCAGAATAGAACCTGTGAAAGGCCCTTGAGCAACAGCAGTCAGTCTATTGGCCAGAGCCACCGTCACACTCACAGGCTGAAGCTGTAACTAAACACCTGTGGTGTGGTCGCAACAATCTGCAGCTGAACACGCTCAGAATAGTCGAGATGACAGTGGACTTCAGGAGGAGCCCCCTCACTATACTCAGCAGCACTGTATCAGCAGTAGAGTCCTTCAAGTTCCTGGGCTCCACTATCTCCCAGGACCTGAAGTGAACATCCAACATCAGCACCATCACCAAGAAGACACAGCAGAGGATGAACGTCCTGCTCCAGCTCTGGAAGTTCGAC